ACTGCTGACATTGCAACTCGTATCACCCTCACCCCCGTCACCCCTCTCCAGTCCCATTGGCCACTCTCTGCCGCTACCCATCATCTAGATCCCTTTCACAGCGCGACTCAGCTCCTCCGCTCCATCATTCGATCTGCAGTTGCGAGAGAGAGAGAGAAAGAGAGAGAGATTTGGGTTTCCAGATCTAGGGTTTGAAGAGAAGAAGAAAAAGAAGAAGAAGAAAGGGCTATGGATGGAAATATGGGAAGAGAGGAGCTACAATAGGAGAAGGAATAGTAGTGGAGCGGGGATTTGCAGAGAAGAGGCGCCGACTGAAGGGGATTCGGAAGGGCAACGCTAGCTTAGTAGCAGTGGCAGTGAGATTTTAGGGTTTAGGATTAAAGTTGGGATGGGGGAGATAGGGATGGCAAGAGGTGGGTCACCAGAGCTAAGGATGGCGGAGGAGGTGCGGCCGAAACTGGTAATGGCTGCGACGGCGACAGGTAGCGAACGGGCAACGATAATTTGTGTAAAGGTTAAAAATGTAATTGACTAGAACGATAAAAATGTAATAAATTTTTTTAAAGAAATGGAAGATTGAAGATTGTGGGTGGAGTATGTGAGTGAGTAAGGATAAAGATGGAAAATTGTGGGTGGAGTATGTGTGTGAGTAAGGATAAAGATGGAAGAATGTAGTGTGTATTGAGCAAATTTTTTATTTATCAAATTATTAAAGGTGTGTCTTGAGTAGTGGTGTGTCTTGAGATGAAATGTGGTGTGTAAATAGAGGCACCCTGAAAAAGTTGGGATTTTTTTGGATAAATTACAAATACACCCCTTAAAATTTAGTTCAAATACAAATTGTCTTTTGTGGTTTTGAAAATTATATTACACTCCTTGAAATTTTAAATTTAATAACAAATAGTCTATTTTATTAATAAATTATCAAGCCAATTAACAACTTTAATAATGACAAAATTTTATTTCAATTAATAATTCAAGTCATTTTATTATTATATAGGAGAACAGTTAGAAAATTTATTTTTTCAATTAATTATGTTAAATAAAAAATTCTAACAATGTGAGATAAATTGTAATTTTTCAAACCATATGAGACGATCCATATTTTAAGAAAATCTCAATAAGTGTATTTGTAATTTATCCTTTTTTTAAAAAAAAAATGATGCTAAAGTGATTATTTGTATAGTTGTTATACTCTTAACTTTTGACTATTCTAACTTTAATTTTTGTATAATTAAATACCAGTCAACTAAAAAAAAATTAAAATTACTTTAGCGAATCCGAACTCATAACTAAAGTTGTAATAAAGGCACATAATCATTTTATTCCATTTCATTCTAATTAACCAAATATAATATAAGAGTTCATAAAAAATATTATAAGTAAAATAAAATGATATATAAATATATATGGTGTGTTTGTTTGGACGGATTGAATAAAGGAGGATTGGAATCCATCGGACTGTTAGTCCTAGAATACATTGTCCCCGGATTATTTGATTAGACTGCATTTGTATCCTATGTTTGTTTAGTCATAAGATTAAATGTCAAAAAAAGACTATTTAGTTGGATATGATATGAATCCTACGTTTGTTTGAGATATTATATAGAAGGATAAATGTTCAAATGATTATTTTATCTTTTTCAATTATTTACTATGTATAACAATATTAAACACATCTTTAATATTTTAATTATTTTTAACTAGATTAAATAAAAATTTATTTTATTTTATTTTTTACACAATTAAATAAATTTATTTTTTTAAATTTAAATAAATAAAATAAATAAAATATCAAAAAAAATATATGTTATTTTTTTAATTAAAATTTTAAATAAATTTATTTAAAATAATAATAATTAAATAAAACATCTATTAAAATTTAAATAATGAAATTAAATAAAATATAAACAAAATTTTAAAATAAAACATCAGTAAAATATCTATAAAAAATTATTTTAAAAAATTAAATAAATAAAAAATCAATAAAAACTAAATAAAATTATTTTATTTTTAAATTAAGACATTTAAATTTTACTGAATTTTATTAAATATAATACATAATTAAATAATAGAAGGTCAAAATGGTCATTTCACCACCTAATCCCATATCCCCTTATCCCTTCATTTGTGTCTCACCTCTCGGGACACAATAATCCAATAGATTTGGGACTAATAGTTCAGTGTAAAAATTTTGAACCAAACAACAGATGAATGGACTAAAAGTTTAATTCCACCTCTCAATCTCTCAAAACAAATACTACCATAAGGTTTATTCCAATATATATTTCTTTCATTAAACAAACACTACTTTAAAATTAAAAAATTAAATTTGAATTTTTTTTTAAAAAAAATACGTGACTTGCCCGGCTTGGGCCTCCGTACGTAGTGTATATATATATATATCCAAAGCATTAACCATTAGTTTTTGGCTGGTGTAACTGTTAAAATAGGTTATAAATTATAATTTAATAGATTATAAATTATAATTTTAATTAGAAATTGTTAATTTATTTAGTGTAACTTTTGAATTATAGATTTAAGTTGCTGAGTAGTGTTTGTTAAATAAATTGTAAAGTTACTTTTTCAATTAACTTTTATTTTTTACTATTCACTACTTGTTTACATTTCTCAGAAAAAAAAAAAATAATCTATAATCTATTTGGGTCTGTTTCTAATTTTAAAAAAATAAAAAAATTTAAGAATATAACCGTAAATTAACATATCCACAATAGAAGCTGATAATCAAAAGTAAGAGGTGAGCAACTTCTCAGAATCAGTTTTTTTGAATTAAAATAAGTTGTTATAATTATAAACTGTTTGAAATAAGTTTAATCAAACAGTCCAAAATAACTTTTCGAAAGCTAGAAGCTATAAGTTGGTTCAAAAAAGCCTAAACAAATACCCCTATTAAAGGACAAATTACCAACACCCTCTCAAGATTTGACTAAAATACAGATTTTTTCTTAAGGTTTGAAAAATTATAAATTACCCCCTGAAGTTTATATTTGCATAACAAATGAGGGGTAATTTGTTATGCAAATATAAATTTTGAGGGGCAATTTGTTATGCAAATATAAACCTTACGAGGCAGAATATAATTTTTCAAACCTCAGAAAAAATTCGTATTTTAATCAAATCTCAAGAGGGTGTTGGTAATTTGTGTCCATTATTAAAAAAGGAAAATTAGGTATACATTTCTCCATATGTTTGAGTTTTGAATAATACTTTGTGGGAAAGATTTCTCCTACCATATGCATTTTATAATTATAAAAGACATAATTTTATATTTTTTAAATTATAATTAACAAAACCTAAAAAAGGTATAGTCAAATATCTCAAAATAATATCATAATTAAATAAAAAAATTGATTATAACTAAATAAAAAATTAATTATGACTAAAGAAGAAAATAATATAATTAAGAATGTATACAATATGAGGGTGTATATAATAAAATTCCATATTTTATAGTTTATTCCTTATGGTTTTTGTGGTTTTTTTTTTTTTTTTGGTTGCAAGAAAATAGATGTGTAAATAGACTACTTCATATATCCGTTAGGGAGTATTACTTCTTAGCATCCATAATACATTTGTAGAGAATCTCACCGTACTTACGTTAAGGCCAAAGTTAAAGCCTCTCGCATGCTCTGAACGCTAAAAAATATATTTAATCCCAACAAACAACCATAAAGATTCAAACCTAAATTTTGAATGAAAAATTTGAAAGTCTTACCCCAAAACCAAAACCTCATTGATTCTTGTGGTTTTTAAGGAATCCTAGATGGATTCTAGGTTTATCCCTATTTTATTTTCCTTTTGACTTGAATTTTCTTGATGTGGACCAACATGCACATATTGCTATATTTTCAGAGCTATCATATTCAATTTCGACCAACTGTAAAAGTAACGGATTAAGAAGTACCAACACAAGTACGTGACATGAATATATTAAGATATTAATTTTAAGACGACAATGTTAAGGCAAGATGTATATATTGATATGTTAACTTTTTAAAAATATAGAATCTGATATGTAAAAGACATGCAAAACTATATGTAAAATATTAAATGAGTTCATGTCATCATTGTTACTATCTGTAAAAGACACTACGTGCTTTCATGTACAACCCATCGCTTAACACAAAATTATAAATTTTACCTTCTTTACCAATTATAACATCTCTAGAGCACCATGTGACCATGGTCCAGAAATATCCAATAATTACTCCAAAACGTAGACTCTTTGGTCCAATTATTGAATTGGAAAGTAAGACTTTGTTTGGGTTTTTTTTTTTTTTTTTGTTGAAAAAATGAAAACTAATTTGATAAAAATAAATATTAAAAAAATACTTTTAAAAATATTACTAGCCTCCCAAAAGATAAAATTACATAAAAATGATAATTATTTTTATTTTTTTACTTTTTTCACTAAATTAATTTTTACCTTTTAAAAAAATTTTGAAATAAAATTGTGAAAACGAAACCATGGCCTAAGTCTTTTTTTTGGGAGGATAAATTACATTTACACCTCTTGAAGTTTGGATTTAATATATGTCGCCCTTGATGTTTAGAAAATTACACTAATTCCTATCATTGTAATTATTTAAATAGAATAAAGATATTGAATTCATGCACTCTTTCTTTTCTTGCTTTATTTTACCTCCTTAGTTTTTTTTTTCCCTTTGCTCTACTTTTTTTTTCAATAGAATTTCCTCTATTTTTCTACTAAGAATTGTTATTTTTTACATAAGTAAGGGTTTGTGAAATAGGACTAGTAATCATAGAAGTTTAAATATAATTTTCAGAACGTCAAGAGATGAGATGTAATTAGATTAAATTTTAAGAGGTGTGAGTGTAATTTACTTTTATTAATTATTATTACTATTATTATTATTATTTTATAGTTTGCTTACGTTTTTGGGCCAAGTGGATAGGGCTAATTGATGTCTAAAAAAAATTTAAAAAATAAAATAAAAAAATAGGCTATTTGATGTGTCACCTTTGTTTTGTGTAGAAAAAAGCAGAGCAACTGTGGATAGGCTTTAAACAATTAGGGAAAATGTTGGTGAAGCTCCAACATATAGATACCAATTGCTTCCACAGATTGAATTCCATAAAAACCTCTACACCCAACAATCCACCACTAGTGTCAGTATCTCCGCCAAACAATCTCAAACCCACCAAGAAACACCAAGATCAAGAAGTTCCTAGGAATCCCAATGGAGCTGTCAAGAGATTTAGCAGAGTCTATAAGCAAACCCATGACCCAAAAACCCATCTTTACGAGCCTAGCTCAAATCCACATGGTTCTATCAAGAACCCAGATGGAAAAAACACAAAGGGTAGTTCTAGAATCGATAACAAGAGAGCTTCAATGGTTAAATTGACTCCTGTTAATGGGAATGGTGTGGTGGAGAAGACGCATACCAAGTGTTCGACGAAATGGCTACGTTACGGAGGGTGTATTCCAGCAATTTTGGAAGCTTTGGAAACAGTTATTGATTTGGATGAGGCGTTGAGGCCGTGGGAAGAGAGTTTGAGTAACAAGGAGAGGACTATAATTTTGAAGGAGCAATCGAGTTGGGAACGGGCGTTGGAGATCTTTGATTGGTTCAAGAGGAAAGGTTGTTACGAGTTGAATGTGATTCACTACAACATAATGCTTAGGATTCTTGGGAAAGCGCGGAGGTGGAGCTTAGTCGAGAGTTTGTGGGATGAGATGGAGAAGAGAAGCATTATGCCGATAAATTCTACTTATGGTACACTGATTGATGTTTATAGCAAAGGTGGGCTCAAGAATGAAGCGCTTCGTTGGTTGGAATTGATGACCAAACAAGGAATGGAACCCGATGAGGTGACTATGGGGATTGTTGTTCAAACATACAAGAAGGCAGGGGAATTTGAAAAAGCCGAGCAGTTCTTCAAAAAGTGGTCGTTGGGTAAATCTTCATTTGATGAGGGAAGAACTAGCACCCCAACAATATCTACCACAATGAATGGTGATTCTCGGGGACATGTTTCTTTGAGCTCATACACATATAATACCCTGATAGACACATTTGGCAAGGCTGGGCAACTTAAAGAAGCATCGGAAACGTTTGCAAGGATGCTAAAAGATGGGATTGTGCCAAATACTGTGACTTTCAACACAATGATTCACATATGTGGTAACCGGGGCCAGCTGGAGGAAGTTGCTTCATTAATTCGCAGAATGGAGGAGCTCCGGTGCTCACCTGATACTAGGACGTATAATATTCTTATTTTTCTTCATGCTAAGCATGATGATATTGAAATGGCAGCAAAGTACTTCAGAAATATGAAGGAGGTTTTGATTGAGCCGGACGTTGTGAGTTACCGCACCCTCTTGTATGCATTCTCAATAAGACACATGGTTGGTGAAGCTGAAGATCTCATTTTGGAGATGGATGAAAGGGGTCTTCAGATTGATGAATTCACCCAATCAGCTTTGACTAGAATGTATATAGGAGCTGGCATGCTTGACAAATCATGGTTATGGTTCATGAGGTTTCATCTTGAAGGAAATATGAGTCCCGAGTGCTACTCTGCCAACATTGATGCATTTGGGGAACGTGGGCATGTTGATGAAGCTGAGAAAGTTTTCATGAGTTGCCAAGAGGGTAAAAAGCCTAGTGTTCTTGAGTTCAATGTGATGATTAAAGCTTATGGAATCAACAAGAGATATGATAAGGCTTGCCAATTATTAGACAGTATGGAGGAACACGATGTGGTTCCAGACAAATGTAGTTACAATTCTCTCGTCCAAATGCTAGCTAGTGCCGATCTGCCACACTTAGCGGTGCTCTATGTGAGGAAAATGCAACAGGCAGGATTGGTAAGTGATTGTGTCCCATATTGTGCAGTGATATCAAGCTTTGTGAAGTTGGGTCAGTTGAAAACCGCAGAGGCAGTTTTTGCAGAAATGGTTCGATTTGAGGTCCACCCTGATGTTGTTGTTTACGGTGTACTGATAAATGCGTTTGCTGATATTGGAAGTGTTAAAGAAGCTATAAGTTATGTTGATGCAATGAAAGAGGCAAGCATACCCATGAATAATGTTATATATTCGTCTTTGATTAAGCTTTATACTAAAGTTGGATACTTGAAAGAAGCAGAGGAAACGTACAAAATGCTACAATCGTTTGATGTTGGTGCTGATGTATATTCTTCAAATTGTATGATTGATCTCTACAGCGAGCGATCTATGGTTAAACAAGCAGAAGATATTTTTGAGAACCTCAAGAGAAAAGAACAGGCAAATGAGTTTTCACATGCTATGATGTTGTGTATGTACAAGAGACTTGGGAGGTTTGAGGAAGCTATTCAGATTGCACAAAAGATGAGAGAATTGGGACTTCTGACTGATTTGTTGAGTTACAATCATGTGCTAGGGTTGTATGCATCGGATGGGAGATTCAAAGAAGCCGTGGGAATTTTTAAAGAGATGATGGAATCTTCTGTTCAGCTCGATGATTCTACATTTAAATCACTTGAGGTTGTCCTAATGAAATGTGGAGTTCCCAAGCAGGCTGTTGGCAAGATGGAACTAACAAGGAAGAAAAATGCTCAGATTGGGCTGGAGGCATGGTTATCAACTCTTACTGCTGTGGTTTGTTTTGACAATAATGAAGTTGATGATGATGTTTAACTCTTGTGAGCTGGGACAGGGGTTTTGAGTTTAAACACTCGAGTTAAGGTTTCAGGGCAAAGAGTTGGGCAAAGAAAGCTCAAACAGTGGCGGTAATACCTTGCACCGAACAATGGTGATGACACAAGTACATACTGTAAAATTAGGCAAGTCCATGAAGGGCTATGTTACAATTGTTTTTCTTTTAATTCTGTGGAATGTTATGCAAGCAATGAATATAACTTTACTATTTGTGGCTGCTAATCCTATGTTAATCATCTGAAGGAGTGTCTATATTTGAAATTCTGCTCAGGCACATCAATATTTAAATATTTCAAATCACTTTTCTCTAAAGCTATCTATTGAAGGGTTTGGGAAAATATCGTACAATTGAAGGGGAAAAAAAAGTCATTCTTTGTTGCTCAAATGTAAAACACAATAGAATACAAGTAAATTGTGTGGTTTTGAATATTAAACTTGAAGTGCAAATAAAAAAATTTATTGATTTAGAAGCATGAAAATTATTTCTATAATAATAACATAAAAAGCTATTGTAGAAATTTTGATTAAACATCTATTGAGCCATATATCCTCCTTTATATGGTGTATGTGTAGTTTTGGGTAAGCAACCCATCTGAGTCTGAGTGTCCAGTCCAAAACACAATACAAGAAAAAGTGTTTGTCTCTGCATTTTGAACCCTAAAAAGGATCATCCTCCTCCTCCCCCCACCTCGCCAATTGTTGCTGCCACTACAGTATGCCACCGCCAAGGTCAGCCTCCCATTGTCACTGTTTTCCGTTGTACAGAAAATTTGTTTTCGTTTCTTATATTATTATACCAACGAGTCATGATCCAAAATCAACGTTAACTAAAAACTTCATTTGAATAACTACATCAATCACACCAGCATCCGATCCTTTATATTCAATTTCACGTTGTCAAAACACTATTTCGTGATGCATAGTTGAACACTAATGTGGGTGCACTAGGCAAGTCCACACATCCCACATCGCTCTGTGAGAGATCACAGCTCCACTACATAAGTGGACTAACTCCCTTAGACTAGTATGAGGTCTTTTAAAGCCGTGAGGGGTTAGCAACTAGTTTCACCTTACTCCAAAACGAACAATATCGTGCTAGTCGGAGAGGGTTAGTTGCTTCATTTGGCGCCGCCTGTGGAAACTCCCTAGGGAGTTATGTGGGTGCACTAGGCAAGTCCATGCATGGTTTAAGAATACTCCTTCAATCCAAACAATTAAGATAATTAATGTCATTTAATAAACCATAAGCTGATTCCATTGTTAAAACTAATAGCAGCAAAGAAAAAAAGTAGTTTTGAATTACTTATCCAAAGAAATGGTTTTCAATTAAATGACCCAATCAAGATTTTGTATTTGCTCTTTCATTAATGGTATAGGATAACACTGTTTTTTATTTTATGACAACTAGGGATGGGATTACTTGATAATTTGGACAAATATATTTTTTTATATGCAAATACTAGTATTCTATAAGCCCAAAAGGAATCACTAATTTTCCCCCCCAAAAATTATATATTTATGTTTTTTAAGCAGTTGAGAGTGAGAGCAAAGACATAGATATTTGAAACAAAATTCAAAAGCAATGAAATTTAATTTTTGGTCATTTTGGAATTCCCATCAATTTGAAACTTTTAGTCCTAAATTTGTGATTAATTACCTATATTTTGCAATTGATCTTCAATTTTGAAATTTTTAGCGCTTATTAGAAATGTCAATTTCTTGGAAACAGTAAAATTTCATTCTCTCTAGTAAAATTTCACTAGCCTTTTTTACTGAGTAAAATTTCACCGTTAGATTATTGTGTTGTGGTGATAATGGTCACAGTTGTCAAATCGAGATTCGTATCGTGAATCGAAATGACCTTGTACCGAATCGCGAATCGAATCGAATCGTGAATCGTAAAGATTCGGTCACTTTTTTAAAATTACTTAAAAATATATATTTACACATTTAAATGTTAAATATATCTTATGAATATGAAATATTTAGACTTAAATCAATGAAAATGTTATTTTGCGTGATAATCACATAGTTTAATAGGTAAGAAGGTAACAAAGATTCTTGTGTAAGATCACTATCTTACTTAAGATCACTATCTTACTTTTTTTCTTTTTAGATATTTTTTATCAACCATTCTTAATAAAGATAATAACCAAATAGACAAATTATCAATTTCCAAAATAACAATAATTAATAACGATATTGATATTTGGACAATAAGCATACGTACTTTTCTAAGTAACAGTGAGCAAATAATAAGAAAGAATTATTTAGAATATTTTATTTTAAAGCCTAAAACATTTTCAAAGGTATGACAGACCTCACATATGTAATATTCAATTATATTCAATTTAATAAAATAGTAATAGATAATTCATATTGTAACTTTAATCTTACACATCTTTAGAAGATATATTATGAATTTTTAAAGGGAAAAAAAAATGAGAAGAAAGGTTAAAAATATGTTGGGTCTGACTGAATCTGATTGGATTCTATTAAAAATTTCATGATCACTAAAATAACAACAAATTATGTATATATGTTGGTTATTTTAGTATTAAACGCTATTAAAAGTTGTATTATGTCATTTTCACTAAAAACATGAAAAAAAAAATAGTCGAAAATATTGTTATTCACTGGAGATTTACTTCAGTGAATTAAATCGTAAATCGATTGTGAATCGTGCGATTCACTAGAGATTTACTTCTAAAATAGATTCACCCATAGATTCGTATCGATTTTGCAAAAAATTTGAATCGAATCATGAATCGAATCGCGAATCGTAAGATTTTGATAAAAAAGAGATTCACTTATAGATTCGTATCGATTTTGCAAAAATTGTGAATCGAATCGTGAATCGAATCGCGAATCGTAAGATTCTGATAACAGAGATAATGGTGTTGAAGGTTTTTTTTTTATTTTTTGCACTGAAGGTTATAAATTTTAGTATTCAATTAAAATTTTACTTTTAGAACAAATAAATTTCTCTATTTGAAAACAGTAAAACTTATTTGTTTTATATAACAAAACAAACAAAACACCCAAAATTATCACTTTGAAGGCTTCACTTTGAGTTTTTAACCCTGAATTTGAAATTAAACACCCAATTTTTTTTTTATATTTATAAATATCCATTAATTTTGTAGCTTTTAGCCTCTATTGAAAATGAGACACATCATTTTATATATGAAATTGTGTTTGTATATAACTACCCACAAATTTACATTCACTTGCTTTGAAAACAATTTCATTAAGGGCCAATTTGGAAACTTTTAACCTATTTTGGGTCACATTACCTATATTTTTTTAAAAAAAGAAAAAAAATTTTTTTAACCAACTTCTCAAAATAACCCAAATTATTCTGTCTCCCATTCTAGCTGGTCATTACCCACATCCATTAATTATGGGTTGTTTTAGGAAGATGGTTAGAAACTTACTTTTTAAATTTTTTATTTTATTTTTTTTGAAAAAATATAAAAAAAATATGAGAAATAATATAACTAAAAATAGATTAAAAATTAAAAAATAACTTTAACCATCTTTTCAAAATAGTCAATCTCCTACTTCCAACCATTAATTTTGAATATCATTGTCAACAAATTTACTCAGGCCACTGTCACTAGTTACCGCCACTCACCTCATTCACTTATGACCAGTGGTACAAACCATTGCATCTCTAATAATCAAGAATCACATTTGATCATGGATAATCACTTCTAACCACCAGTGACTATCTCCTACCGTTAACAACTACGTATCGCTAATAACTTTTTATTTTCAAAATAATATTAAAAACATACCGTACGTATAAAAAATATTATTATTATTATATTGAAACTAATAAATTGTAAACGTACATAACACTCCTTTAATTTTCAAACTCAAATACAATTTTTGTATTTTTCTTACTAAATTTTTTATATATTAGTTAAAGTTAAAAAAATAAAATATTTATCACATTTTAACAAAAAAAAATTGTTTACAAATAATTTACTTTTTTAGTGATTTAGAAATAAAAAAAAGGGGTTAATTGATGATAAATCCGATATAAGGAGGGTATAAGGTATTATGTGGAATATTTTTTGTTGATGAGAGATCCATACTTTGTGAAATAATTTGATGATAAATCCTGGAGAACATTTTGTTTATAATTTTACCCCTTCACTTTTTTTATCTATTTGATTTTCATTGACTATCTGTTGAAATTATTTTTATCTGTTGAAATTTTTTATTTGTTAAAACTCCTATCTGTTTAAATTTTTTATCTGTTCAAAATTTTCAATTTTTTTATTTGTTGATTTTTTTATCTATTCAAATATTTCCTGTTTATCTGTTCAATCTGTTTCATTTTCATTTTCATCAACAACAACACATCATCAACATCAACAACAAAATAACTACAACTATCTGTTGAATTCAAATAGAAAAAATGGTGCTAAAAAAAAGAGAGAAAAATGGTGATGCAGGAGAAGAAGATCTAGATTTGAAGAGTGATCTGTTCAAATCTGAGAAATACACCAAACACAAGAGCCACCATAGAGGGCGGCGTGGTGGTAGAGCAAGATCGGTTTTGTGAAATTTTGAACATTATTGTTCATCTCTTGAATCCATGCTATCATGCTAGCAAAATATTTAGATCTTCAAGTCAAAAGCTTGAGAAGTGAAAAAATTAAAAAATAAAAGGAAAGGAAAGGGGGAAAAAAAAACACTAAATTCTATTTCTTTGTGATTCAAAAACCTACAATCAAACTTGCAAACAGAGGGGTTTTCTGAATGGTGAAATCGAAGCATTCTTCAGTTTATTCAATTCAAAATGTATATTTATATAAAAAGATTACTACTACTACTAATAATAATAATAATAATGTAAGCAATTATCCATCTAGCTTAGGTATAAAATATGGAAAGCAGCATGAAGGTCATTTAATAGCTCTATACTAGGATTGATATCAGGTCCAAACTAAAAAGAATCAAACACCATCACACAATTTGATCATCAACCTTGTATGAGAAGACTATGATGACAAGAATTTGACAAGATCAGCAAAACTACGAATTATTGAAAAACAGAGAGAGCTATTTCACAGATAAATATCTTTAGTAGTGACTAAGCAATAAAATGAACAATATGTATACATTGTTATCTTTGTGGTGGATCGCTCAGATCTAGAGAGATGACGTAGAGATTTAGAGAGAGAAAGAAAGACCTAATGGCGACTATATCGACAGACTTGTCGATGATCTAGTTAGTTCAGAGTCCCTTCGTTGTTGACGACTTCGCGAACTAGCTAGAGTTCTGCTTAAAGAAGACGGAGGCAGTGAAGGGAGGAGCAACGGTGTCATCATTGCCGATGAATGTACCCGATGAGCGACGAAGTAAAGAGAGAAAGAGAGTGAGAAAATGATTTTGCTTAGGGTTTGAGTTGGGAACCATGAACATATATATAGATGGATATTTTTGTTATTTCATAAAAACTTGTTTTTATAGACATAATAAAGTTGCGTGTGGACCTTCGGGCATAAAAAATACAAGATTGGATTATTGACTCGAATACCCTAAAAAAAATTTCATCAAAAAGCAACAAAAAAAAAAAAAAAATTCTCAAAAATAATTATTGGAAATTAAACGGAGAATATATCCTTTGTGTGCATTGTGAGATATGCCAATCCAAGGGCTGAGAACCCATCACTCCAATACAATACAATAAAAACCTAAAACTAAAAACTCCAAAAGAAAAAGAAAAAGAAAAAAAAAATCTCCCGTACTCCTCCACCACACACATACCCTTCTCTCTCTCCCGCTGTCTCTCTCTCTCCTCGCGAATGGAACCGAATGAAAGTGGACTAAGCTCTTACTACCACCACCAGCACCACCAGCACCACCAACAGCACCACCAGCCTCAGCCACCGCACCACCAGAGCCCCGCCGCCACTTCACCCACCAATGGAATCCTTCAAAACGCTGACAACAGAGCCCCTCACATGGTGTACCCTAACCCCGTTCCATCGGCTGTCACGCCACCGTTAGAGAGCGTGCGGAGGAAGAGAGGGAGACCTAGAAAGTACGGCACGCCGGAGCAGGCGGCGGCGGCGAAGAGAGCGCCGTCGTCGTCGCATTTGACGAAGAAGAAGGAACAGCCCTTTGGAGGTGGCGTTGGTGCTTCGTCTCTGTCTTCTCCTTCGAAGAAATCCCAGTTGGCTGCTCTTGGTGGGTCTCTCTAAACCCTAATTTTCCTTCTCTAATTCCTTGATTTTGCAGTGGTTTCAATGTTCTGTTGTGTTTTTGTTTTGTTGCATGTACAAATTTGTGTAAATTGTGTCCTTTCAGAGATTTTCTGTTTCTGTAATTTCATGCGAAGAGGGCTTTTTTTTGTTTTTTTTTTTGGGTTGATTTTGTGTTTGCATGTAATATTTGGGGATACATTGTGTACGAACTTTTTGTTTGTTTGTTTGTGTTGCAATCTTCTGTAGTCTGCTTTAAAGACTCGATCTTTACTTGATTTCACAAGGGCCTTATGTATGGAACCTTTCAATTTGTTATGTTACTTCCATGCCTAGTTTTTTAGATTCAAGTGGTTATATGCTCATGTGTTTGTGCAAAAGTTAACCAAGTGTTGCCAATGTGGCAAATCAATTATTTGGGTATTATTTTTATAATCGGTATGTGATGAATGTGATAAGAGAAGCTGCACTGGCAGAGGCAGACTCGAACCTACGTAGGCATATGCCTGATAACTTGATAAGGGAGTGTCTCATCCAACCCTATTGGTCTCTATTTTTTGATAAACATTTATTTGGGTAGTAGTATTGGTATGTGATTTGGCTTTATCAGCAGCATGGTTTTAATGTAGTTAAAAATATATACAGCCAAATTTATCCATTATATATATATATATACAGGATCAAGTTAAATCCTATTTTGTTACCCTTGGTGGATTTTTGAATCCCTTTTACTGCTTAATGTATTGAATTCAAGACGAAAATATGGGCATCTATGTTTGCATACAATTGAGGAAGAGACATTTATTATGTTCATGAAGCCCCTTGTTTTGTTATGCTGCTGCCACACCCTAGGCATAATCAATATGCCTTGTCAATTCTCTATTGTTTCATGGTCTGCCATTTTCTAAATGGTTGTTTTCAAATTCATTTTGCCAACAATAGTCCTTTCCAATATATATTCCATTCAAATGACCTAGTTGGTTACCCTTGGTGGGTTTTTGAAATATTCTGAATATGTGAAGCTTAAGATAATAAAGGCATGTGAATTTGCATTCTATTTGCCTGCAGAAGGTGTTTTTTTCCCCTGTTGATTAAGCAGTTTATAATCTTGTCCAATATCAACTGCTCAAGTAGTATCTGCTGCCACCTGGTCACGAGTATGTTTGTGATGATGTTTTTAATTATTTTTAGATAGAGTATGTTTGAGATGTTGCTGTGCAAGTGCATGTAAATCGCTCGGCACAAAAAAAATGTAACAAAAAAACTTCTTGAACTTTAGTTTTCTTCTTGCTTTTAGGGGATTTCTTGATTATGATGATTTTGGTGTGTTTTCCCTTAATAGTTGAGGAATCAATAACTTCAAGTCGTTTGACGGGTTGGTTCAATAACTTATGGAGTCCTTTAATGCTTTTTGGATAGAGTTTACAAGCATTTTAAAATGCACTTTCTGAATTTGTAATCTTTTGAAAAAACTGAAGCCCTAGATGGTTGGGTTTGGTGGACTTTTGAACCAGAAATTTGGTTGCCAATTCTATGCTGGATATCTTGATACAAGATGAATTTGAATTTTTGGTGCACAACAAGCCTTATTGAAAATCCTTTTAACCAACGATTTTCACTCAAAAAAATACCTTTCATTTCTTAGACTTGCACATTTATAGGGCTCTAATCCATAATTCAACCTAAGCATTCACTTGCTAACATGTCATGACGCGATAGCTCAACTTGTCATGTCACTTGAGTAGTCATGTGACTGGCATGTGATCAATTTATGTCCCTCCCCCAAGTGCACAGGCATTAAAAGAATTTCTTTTAAAAAAAAATTAACTATTTTTAATTCAATTGTCCAAGTAGATAAATGAAAATAAAAAATTCACTCGAGCTCTAGTACCTCGTTCTCTTCCTCATTTTTGTTTTGACCTTGATTTTGCAATTATTGCATCATGAGTTATGACTAGGTTTATGGTGTTTAGTTGGACTAGATCTGAGGTAAATATGATGGAAGATCAAAGCAAAAGAGGAAAGTGACACCAGAAGAGGAGGAGAGAACATTAGGGTTGATCCCAAATTTCACAGAGAATACGACTTTTGTTCATCTCAATATGTTTAATCTTATCTTACAATGTTTTACATCTAGTACTTGATCTTGGGAAATATTATTAACTGTGATATTCCAGAGTACAATCTAATTGGATCCTAGAGAGTCTAAATTCAATTTTGTCAACAATGTCTTAACCAGAGTAGCTTGCAAAGACCATGTATCACTGTCTTATCTTATCTATCTACTGTGACCTATCAACAACCTGTGCTACAAGAAACCAAGTTTTCTGCCACGAAAGTGTAACATACGGGCAATGTGAGTGTTGTTGAAATGAGGATGTTAAGGTGGATGTGTGGCAAGGTTAGAAAAGACTGAGTTAAAAATGAGTATATTCGTGAATGGATAAGATTAGTACCGATAGAAGATAAGTTGAGAGTGAATAGATTGAGATGGTTTAGTCATATATAACGGAGACCAACAGAAGCAGTAGTGAAGAGATGCGATACAGTGATAGCAGATGGAAGTGTTAGGGGAAGGGGCAGACCTAGATTGATGTGGGCTAGTGTAGTATGTGGAGATATGAATCTCCTTAATTTGACTAACTAAATGGAGCTTGATAGAGTCGAGTGGAGAAGAAGGATTCATGAACCCGACTCCATTTGATGAGATTTAAGGTTTGGTTTGGTTACATTCCGGTGAACATTGCATAAAATTGACTTATTGCATGGTGTAGACACGATCTGTTATCCATGTTAGAGGTGTTACATGCAATGTGATTTTTACAAAGAAATGTGGATATCTTATTTCTTCATTGATGTCTTTCACTGCTTATAGAAATGAACATCTGCGGATAACTTTTTATAAATATGATTTGATGATTAAATCTGCTCATCTCATTCTTGTAAGATGCAGGCATATCTTCTATAGCTGCTCATCTCATTCTTGTAAGATGCAGGCATATCTTCTATAGCTGCTTCTCTGAAGTGCTTCATATTTCTAAACCTGTTTGTGCATTTGGATGATTAAGAGTAGCTTTCCATACCTAGTTTTCTCTTTCTCATTTGAAAAAATTATTGCAATTATATTTTCAATACACAATTTTATGTACAATATCATTCCTTGTGTTGTGGAACTTTTTATTGTTTTACAATAATGTCTAAGTTCATATCAATCTGTTGTGGTTGAGAGATACATATGTAAATACTTATTCGATGCATTTACATCTACCTGGGTGATGCAGGTAATGCGGGGCAAGGTTTTACTCCACATATTATTTCTGTAGCTGCTGGTGAAGTATGCTTGCACATCTTTAAATTTAATGTTGTCATAAAAAAATTGTCATTTATATAGAATTAATTGTTATTGTCAATATGCATTCTCTTGTGCGTGCTGTGATTGTTCCATATGTTTTGGACTGTTGACCTGAAATTACATCTCAGTTATTGTTTCATTTCATTTCCTGCTTGCTTGCTTTTTTGCCTCATTTGTAGTATATATTATATATTAAGCAATTGTGGAATACAAGAACAACTGACTCAAACTTAAGCACTGCAGTGGTTTACTGCAACTCTTTATACACAACCTTTAAAGGAAAAAAAATTTTAAAAAAGAGAGAGGTGGAAGTCTGCTACATTCTAGAATTTTTATTGTTACATTATCTTTTTGGAAATTAAGCCTTATTGTAATTTTTATTGCTACCTTTTAGAATTTCGTTTTTTTGCTGGAATCTAATCTGCTTATCCTTAGGAAGTTATATGGAGTAATATCCTTCTTCTTTTGGTTGGTATCTCAGATTGCACTCTTCAGCGTTTTTATGGAAAACTAATGACGAAACTTTCCTTCAGTACCCCGTTTATTCAGTAATGAGTTAACGAGTTTTGCAGGCTAAATCTTCTTCGTCTACTCCCTTCAATGTAACATTCTCTTACATTTCGGAGAACAATTGTTGACTGGCTGAATTTTTATTGCAAAGTTTGTGATCATGTGATGATGCTTTTCTTTCACACTGGCTTTAGTTACAAGACTTTCACAGATTGTACAACCTCTAAATTGGATCGCAATAAAATTTTTCTTTCTATTGTTTTATATAAGATCTGAAAAACTGATATTAAATTAAATCCTAATAAAAAGATTCAAGAGGCGATGTATAATGTAGAACAGCACTAGGAAATTTGGATAGTGCATCCTACATCTTGGGTTTGAGGTGGGTTTTGATCACTAGGAAATTCATAGTTTTTTTAATAAAAAGGGGTAACATTGGTTTGGTTTTAGAAGCTTAAGTTTACATGAGTTTCTAAGATCTGGTCGCTGAAAATTCCAAAGGTCCAATTGCAGGGCAAGGGCTTGGGTTATGGTCGATTTGGCTTTGTATGATTCAGTTTTGGCTGTAAGGTTTTTGTGCTAATGATAATTTGACTATTTTTCTGCTGTTATAGACTGGTTTCTCTACTTAGATTTTTTGGTTGCAAGTGATGATATATCACTATGTTACGTTTCTTGATTGTTGTGCTGATGCCTATTAGGATTTTCTTTTTGTTCTTCTAAATCAGACTATTTTCTTCTAGTTATAAACATGTAGTCCTAACAAAATATATATGCATTGTATAGGACACACACCAGAAGATTATGTTGTTCATGCAACAAACCAAGCGTGAGATCTGTATTCTGTCTGCATCTGGTTCCATCTCTAATCCGTGTCTGCGCCAGCCAGCAACATCTGGAGGCAACATTACATATGAGGTAGTTTTTTATCAGTTATTTTTGCTGACACTTCAAAAGGATACATCATCAATTGAGTGAAGCAAGAAATTGAGATACGAAGAGGAATTTATCTTTTACTTCTTCCTCTTCTTTATTTATTTCCTTAAGCTTACTCATAGGTCAAACATGTTATTTTCAGAACTCCATATTTATATTTGATCATTATAACAAAAATGGTTGGCTGTCCAGGCCATTTACTCTTCTTGCCCTATCACTTCTGCTATTTTTTTTTTTACTTTTAGTTTTTAATCAACAACGAAAAAAGAAATATCTATATAATAAGGGAAGAGAGTTTTTGAATTTGTCCTAGAGACAATTGTCCTACTAGGACATTTTAATGGTCAGGATTCATTTTAATGGACGGCTGAAATGACCTTAACTTTCATTTGTCACCCACGTTCTCTCTTTGCCAACCCAAGACAAAGGCTTACAAACCACAGTTTCATCTCATCATCATCAGGCATTAGCTGCCCCATTCACTACCCCACGAAGCAACGCAACCTTCGGCAACATTGCATGAGAGAGCAAACATCGCATGTTTGTTCTCTCTCTCTTCAAACTTCTCAGGTCTCAAACTCTCTCTCCTCAGAGATCTCTCTTTCTCTTCCTCTCGCTCCCCCTCTCCCTCCGCTACCACCGACAGAGACTCTCCATAGCCGCGCCGCTTTACGTCGCCTCCATCACTGCGTCACCTCTGATCTCCACCGACAGCACCTCTTCATCTCTTCTCCCGCCACAGCGTCTCCTTCCTCCACCGTCAAAATAATCAATTGGTTTTGAAATGGGTTTGGACTTGTGTGTGTTTGGATTTGTTAAAATAATCAATTGGTTTTGAATTGGACATGGGCGGTTTGGATCTTTACTACTTTTTCCCCTATGGGCAGCACTGTTGTGAAAGGTAATTTCAATGAATAAAGCATATTTTTTCCTCCTCAATGAATTGGATTGGGCATGTGGATTGATTTTTAAAATTTAATTTCTTTGGTTATTTTGTGGATTGATTTTTATTTTGCTGTTTGGGATGTGGATTGATTTTTAAATTTTTAATTTTTTTGGTTATTTGATGGATTGATTTTTATTTTGTTGTTTGGGATGTGGATTGATTTTTAAAAATTAATTTTTTTTGGTTATTTTATGGATTGATTTTTATTTTGCTGCTTGGAATGTGGATTGATTTTTAAATTTTTAAGTTCTTTGCTTATTTTGGTCTGGGCTAAAAGCCTCCTTTTGTACCCCCACAGGGCATGGATGTTTGAAAATTTAAATTTTGGGGGATGTTTGGGTTTGTGTTCAAGGTTTGAATCTTTACTTCTTTTTTCCCTATGGACAGCACTGTTGTGAAAGGTAATTTCAATGAATAAAGCTTATTTTTTCCTCCTCAGACTATCTCCATAGCCACTGTTTGGACATGTGGATTGATTTTTAAAATTTATTTTTTTTTGTTATTTTTTGGATTGATTTTTATTTTGCTGTTTGGGATGCGAATTGATTTTTAAAATTTAATTTTTTGGATTATTTTGTGGATTGATTTTTATTTTGCTATTTGGATGTGTATTGATTTTTAAATTTTTAATTTTTTTGGTTATTTTGTGGATTGATTTTTATTTTGCAGTTTGAGATGTGGATTGATTTTTAGATTTTTAATTTCTTGGTTATTTTGGTCCGGGCTAAAAGCCTCCTTTTGGCAACCCACGAGGCATGGATGTTTGAGAATTTCGATTTTGGGGGATGTTTGGGTTTGTATTTCTAAGATTTGAGTTTATATTTGTTTTTCTAAGATTTGTTTTTTTAAACATTAAAATTGAGAAAGAGACGAGAGAATGAGAAAGAGAGAGAACGGGTGTTGATTAAAAGGAGAGAATGAGAAAGAAGACCTTTTTGGAGAGATTAAAGAGAGAAAGGGCGGAAGATGGAGAGGAAGAATGAGTGAGAGACACTGAAGAGAGGTTAGGGGGTCACTCGGTACAACACCACACAAAAAAAAGTGGGTTTAAATTTTTTTATTTGTTTTTTAAATCCACTATTTTTGAAAAATGTTTGGTTTTTTTTTTTTTTTTGGGTGGATTAATTTATACTCAAAATTTAAATAGAGTTTAAATTGAGTTTTGAGTTTAAATTGAGTTTAAATTGAGTTTTGAGTTATGTTTATGTAGAAATTTTTTTTGAGTTATTAAAACTCAAAATTTAAATTAGGTTTAGATTGGGTTATGTTAAAAAAATGATCATAAAAATGAATTTTGAGAAAGAGAATAGAAATTATGATAGTAGTGTGATTTGTTCAAAAACTGAAAAGAAGAGTTTTTCTTATAAGAAATTATATTTTTTAATTTTTACTTCAATTTTATTGGGGTGTATTTATGTTGAGTACTTTTACAAAATTCATTTCAAAGTCAATAAATTTGATAAATTACAAAATTTTAAATAAATTAGAATTGAAGAGATTGTATTATTTTACTTTACTATAAATCAGTAGTTTGAAGGTGTTAAAATTGTATTATTTAGAATTGTCTACTTTACTATAATTCAAAATTTTAAATTCATCAAACTCACCATAAATTAGAATTGTATTATTTATCAGCCTATAAATCAGTTGTTTGAAGGTGTTAAAATCTGAATGTGTTAGAATCTATTGCCAGATAAATTATGATTGGTGCCAAGGATAGTTAAACTTTTTAAGCAATTTCAAGATGTTGTAAGCTTTGAAGGCTCTAGAAATTGGTTCATCAAAACGAAGACTATGCGGGCAGAATATTATTGGCTAAATGGAAAAAGCAAGCAAGAAAAGTGATAGAGAGTGAAGTCTTAAGAAAAAAAAAAAACTTTGGGTGACCCATTAGCAACCAGGGAAGGGGGGTCCGAAAATTCCACAATTTTTGGGAAATTACAATACTGTATTCATTATTATTTTTATTTTTAGAATCTTAATTTATTTAGCTTTTATTGTTTGATAGACAAACTACTAAATTGAAATTCTTAAACAACATAATAATTATTTATTTTGGTAGTATTATATATATTAATCGGTATAAACAACAGAATAATTATTTGTTTGCTGGCAGTGGGAGTATTTCGGTGCTTCTTTGTGGGATGTATCACCAGAGATTTGGGCTATTTTGTTGTTATTTTATTCGAGTTTTATAAAGCGTGTGATACAAGTAAAATTGTTATAATTTTATTTCCTTAAGCTTACTCATAGGTCAAACATGTTATTTTCAGAACTCCATATTTATATTTGATCATTATAACAAAAATGGTTGGCTGTCCAGGCCATTTACTCTTCTTGCCCTATCACTTCTGCTATTTTTTTTTTTACTTTTAGTTTTTAATCAACAACGAAAAAAGAAATATTATTAATAAAGAAAGAGATATAATATACAAATAAAAATGTGGAGGACAAGAAATCCTCTGAGGACAGAGACCAAAAAAATATTTCCAAAACACACCCTCAAATTACTACCAATAAGAAACAAAACAATTCCTTTGAAAGGTGCTGAAACCGATGCCCAAAAAGAAGTCAAATAATAGAAATTTTCCCCATAAGCCACCAATATCATCTGATTTGTCTTAAAGATTCTTGCATTTCTCTCCAACCATAAAACCCACAATACTGCACAAATTACACAACTCCAAAGGTGCCGTGACTTCTTATTTGAATCAAAGCTTCTGAGAACATACACTTCCCCATTCTAGGAAACATTGGTTGTACCCCTTATGAAACTCCACAAAACCGTAGGTTAAGAAGAGTGAGGTTTCTTGCTCAACACCTTTCTCTTGCTTTTTGTTTTAAGCACATCCGTAGTCTATCGCTTTCCCCTACTACCACAACACATGGATTGGAGACCTAAGTGATGGATTAAGAAAAAATCAATGAGACATTCTTTGCCATGTTTTCTCTTGCAAGGCTTAAATGTGTAAACCCATTTGATTAACCTTACAAGGTTTTACATGTTCTGTCGAAATTGAAATCTCCCACATTCATTTGATGTCTTTATTCCACCAAATTATCAAAATTGAAAGGACAGTAAATGGTGAGGCAGAGAACTGACCTTTCAGTTAAAGCAACTATCTTTTGCTAAAACACGCTTCTTCCTTTGCTTAGATTTCCACCTTTTTGACATTATTCTGCAAGACAACTTGATGCACTGAAATGTGGTTTTGCAGTCCTTTCAACAATTTTTTTTTGATATATTGTAATTCTATTGCTTACTTCAATCTCAGGGACGGTTTGACATCCTATCACTTTCTGGATCTTATATCCGTACTGAGCTCGGAGGGAGAACTGGTGGGTTGAGTGTCTGCCTCTCGAGTACTGATGGCCATATCATTGGGGGTGGTATTGGTGGACCCTTGAAGGCTGCAGGCCCAGTACAGGTTAGCGTTTCAATTGTAAATTGTAATCTTAGTTGAAACAATCATCTGTATGAACTAAAGGACAACACTTATCTTCTGCTGTTTTGTTGCATGTGTGATTCTGTGTGTGTGTGTGTGTGTGTGAGAGAGAGAGAGAGAGAGAGAGAGATTAAACAACTAACAATACCTTTATCTAATTCTTGGAGCACCAATGTCTGTGGAACACCTAGACGTAAGATTTTATTTCTTCTTGTGCATTGAGTTAATTATGGGTGTGCAAAAAAAAAAAAAAAAAAAAAAAAAGAAGCCAAACCACACCTACCCAAACCAACCGGAGTGGTTTGAAAAGTCGGGTGGTTAGATGATAAAAATTGGTGGTTGGTTGGCCTACGGGTTACAGTATGTCAACCCATCTACAAAGCGACCCAACCTTCCATTTATTCACACACAACCTCTCTGTAACCCTACTATCATTAATTGGATGACACCCACCCCTCATTTCATATTCCCTCTTTCTAATTTGATTGTTTTGTATATTAATTTGTGAAACATAATTTCAAACATCATACATTTGATTAATTTGTGAATTTTGCGTCAGGAATTGGAATAAATAATTTTTTTTTGTTTGAATAGTTTGAAAAAAAACAAGGTTGTATGTTCATTGATATTCTTTCTCATTTTGTATTTATATCCAGCACAAACTGTTGGTTTGAAACCTAAATTTTTTTAACCTAACCGTCAGGAATGGATGTTGGCGGTGGGTTGTAAAATTCTCAATCTGTAAAAAGTGATACAGTTGACGATTTTCCCTAAAACCAACTCAAACCGACCTGTGCATGCCTTTAATGGATAACAACAGCTAAATTTATGTTTAACATGCTGTTGGCCAATGAAGAATTGCTTTGCCATAGTTCTTACCTAATTTTTTGCTCCTTGAGGGTGACAAGCAGTCCTCTCTTACATGTATTGCTTACTAGTTGGTTGTGTGTCCACAGGTAATTGTTGGCACCTTTCTTATTGACACCAAGAAGGATATAATTGCTGATGCAAAAGGTGTTGGGGCATCAGTTTCTGGTGTTGGCTTCCAATCTGCAGTAGATTCTTCTGGAAGAGTCCCGGTCAGAAGCAGTGAAGATCATCAAAGTGTTAGTGGTAGTCAATTCATCATTCAGCCTCGTGATGTGCAGGTAACAAATTCACGGGCAACTGACTGGAGGAGCGGAACAGACACTAGAATCAATGCTGGTTATGAATTTACAGGTACCGTTTACTTGATGGGTTGTGGGCCTGGGCATGTGTTTTTGTGTGGTGTCTGTGGGAGAGGGTTGGGATTAGGGGTGGGTGTTGTGTCATGTTGATCATATTTGTGTCATGTCATTTTTGGGTTTGTGTCAAAACTATCTCAACATTAACTTGACCCATTTAATATTCGTGTTATCGGTTCATGTCACATTCGTGTTCATGTCAGAAAATAACTAATCCTAACCGGTTAAGTTTGTGTTGGGTTTAATTGGGATGTTCTTGATTTGCAGGAAGGGTAGGTCATGGAGCTCACCAATCTCCAGAAAATGGGGACTATGATCATATTCAAGATTAGAGATAAAAGTTGTGTGGACTTTTGAGATGGAACTTTGGTATAATCTGTAACCTGTCCTGTCCTTCCCTGAGAGCTGGTATGCACTGTATGAAGTAATATTTTGATGATATGCTGTTGTATAGGTGTTGCCAAACAGTTTCTCTCTTCTCAGCTGCTGTTACTGTTTATTAGGCACCCTTATATCAGTAAGTTATTTGCCCTAACGAACCCCTCTCTGAATTCTCTTTTGGCCTTTTTTGGTGCAGCTTCTGGGATTGCTTATAGCTCCTCTTGTTTTATTTTTTATTGAAAATTGGTGTTGTCTGGTGCGGTTTTTGCTTATAATTTATCGGACAAAAATAGTTTTTAGTTTTTGCTTTTAATTTATGTTTTTTTATTATCAATTTTCAACTTGTAAGAAGTTTTCATGCATGAGTTGGCGAGTTACTGTTTGTTTGAATGTAGTGATAGTAGCTGTTTGTTTGTTCACATTTTATAAACTGAGTGAATACTGTCTGGATGAGAGCAGAACAGCTTTGAAAAATTTATGAAAGGTCAAAAAAAAAAAAGCCTTTATTCCAAGGTAGACATACAATTGCCCAACTGCTGAAACAAACAAAAAAAAGAGTACTTCGTATTATTCAATGCTAATAAAATAGGAAACTACAGAAACTATAATTCTATATTATTCTAAGTCAAACAGTGGGCAATAGATCTATGATAAACAGAGGATCACAAGGTGGTCAAATAGGGACCAATGGTTTATTTAAGTTCTCCAAGGCGTGAGACTACTTATAGAACATAATTATTTATAAAATCTTTGTCAAATAATTTTTAAAATTTAAACAAACATATCTATGAGTTTCAATTTAAACAAATAAAGTTCAGAAAATAATTCATACAATTAAAACATTAACATAATCATAAAATATAAATTATATAAAATAATTTATGATAACTCAAAATATTTATAAAATATATTATAATAACTTAAGACATATAAAAAATATATTATCATAACCTAATATATAATATAATTCACCTTTAACTTGTATGTATATTTCTTCCAAAGCTTGCTGATCTCACGGAACAGAGACCAAAAATATTTATAAGAAGAGTGTGCATGGTCTTTGTGTGGCACGTGGCATGTTTGGCCACCACTTGTCCATTGCCCTAGGTGACTCACTTAAACTATATGCTTATGTTGATAAGCCATCGTTTTTTTATTTTATTTTTATTCATAAATAATTGTTTTAAATTAAAAATTTGGGTATCACATTATACATTCATGATATATACTATCCTACCTCTTATATATAAAATCAAAGCCCTTCATAACATTTTATTATCTTCTCTTCTCTTCTTTGTATGTGCAACAATCGTTTTAGTGTAATGGTGGAACCAATTTTAATTTTAATTTTTTTTTAAAATTTTTAGAATTTGGTAATAACTACTACCATTGTTGTTGTAGAACTAGATACTATGTTTATTTAAATTAATAGTGGATTGTGGAACCAATTTTAGTTTTTTTTTTTTAATTTTTTTTATAAAATTTGGTGATAACTGCTGCTATTATTGTTGTAGAACTAAATATTGGGACTATTTGTTACAGCTTTTAAAAGGTGATTATAACTTATTTTGATTTGGGAGTTTGTGCAGACTATTTGATGTTGTTTCTACTTATAACTTATCAGACAGAAATAGTTTAAATAAGTTAAAAAAATCTGATTATTTGAAAACTGAGGTAGAGGTGCTTTTGGCTTTTACTTTCTGATTATCAGTTTTTGACTTAAAAAAACTATACCAAACAGGGTCATTATGTTTGTTTAAATTAATAGTGGAACAATATGCTTGCTTACATTTTGAAAAATTTTGGACAGATTAATCTTAAAATGAAAATGTTATATGATTTTTCTTTGTTAATAGATTATGTAAACTAGTAGTTCCAAATCGAGCCGAACCATGCTTAAATAGTTTGGTTCGAATTGGTTTTACGAATTTAAATAGATTGGATTAGTTTCTATTTTTATGAAACAATAGACAATAAATCGATCTTAATTTTATCCCAAATGGACAATTCAAATCATGCTCACCTTTTTCTTTTTTTTTTAAAAAAAAGGACACATTTACGTTCCTCAAATTTTAGATTCTATGATACCGAAATATTTTTTGTGTACTAATTTTTTTAATAAATAGTTACTTAAATGACATATCTTCGGAATTTCTTTATGCATAAGACTCCATACTCTTAGGCATATAACATCTTTTAGGTCGAATTTACCATCCCTTTGGTTTCAAAATAATAGTTCTTTTTAAAAAATTTAACTTTTTTTATAATACAATTATTACATTTTAAAAATATTAATTTTAAAAAAAATTCTTTGATAGTATATTTTTTAGAAATATCAATTATCATAATTGTACTTTTTGTGTTATTAATGAATTTGAAAAAATGATAAAATAGTAAATTCATATTATTTTATTCTTTAATTTTTGAAAATAGACTAATATTTTAAGATAATGAAAAATAAAATAAGGAATCAATATTTTAAGACTAATTTGTCATAGGTTATTGAGTGTTTTAGAAAGTTGGTAACAAGTTGATTTTTTTGACTTTTTTGACAAAAAAAAGTAGATTTTTTGGTATTTCTTTGTGACTTTTTTTTGAAAGAATTTGATAAAAAGTAAAAAAAAATTGACTTTGAATCAAGTTCCAAATTGCTCCCGATTACTAATCTAAAAACACAATTTGTGCTAAAAAACAATCTAATAGTTTTTTTTGTTACAGAAAAATCCTCCCTACTCTTTCGCAGGTCCAAGGTAGTGCCCCTTACAGAGATCACCAGGGTGTCCTGTTAGCCGTTCCGAGCGAGGAGACAATAATCTGGGAACTTGTCCCGACCTCCCAAGACAAGCTCCGCTTAAGTCAGGACTTGCACAGCGGGAGAGCATTGAACCCACATCTAGTGCTGATTAGACAACTTGAGATCCAACCTCCTAACCAACTGTACTTCGCCTAAAAAATTAATTCATAAAAAAAAGAATTGAACATGTGATCTTGAGATTTAAACCCCAAACCTTAATCACAATGTCACCCAGCCCCAAGTTACAATCTAATAATTATTCCACTCGATGATGGTGGGGAGTGGAATGATTGAGAACGGGGACAATGTTGAGGGTGGCACTGGCCTTGAGTGAAAAGGAAAGGGTAGGAGAGGAGTTGGGGTGACAAGAAAGGATTTACCATAGTGGTCCCCCCAACGCCCAAAAAAAGCAAGTTCCTTAAATTAGATTCTATAATATTGATATTATTTACTTATCTTTTTATTTTATTGATGTATATATATTTTAATATTTCACTTCTAAATATGGGATAATTGGCAGTTGTAAAAGTTAAAAAACAAAAAAAAAAAAAGGTTGAGCAAAGAATCTGTAAAATTCACAAACTGAACTGGTCTAATCCAATCTGGTAGGTTTGGATTAGATTTTTGAATTTGTGTTTTGATTTTGAATTGTAAAATTGAGAAACCATTCTCCGTAGATCGGTTTCGAATTTCACTTCACGGTTTCAGATTAATACTCCATATGCAACTTAGACTATATTCATATTATATATCCATGATACATACTATCCTACCTCTTATATATAAAACCAATACCCTTCATAATATTTCATTTTCTTCTCTTTTCTGTGTGTGTAACAACTGTTTTAATGTAATGGTGGAACCAATTTTAATTTTTATTTTTTTTTTTAGAATTTAGTAATAACTGCTACTATTATTGCTGTAGAACTAGATATTATGTTTATTTAAATTAATAGTGGATTGTGGATCCAGTTTTAGTTTTTTTTTTTTAAATTATTTTTTTATTACATAGAATTTGGTGATAGCTGCTACTATTGTTGCTGTAGAACTAGATATTGGGACTGTTTGTTACAACTTTTGAGAGGTGATTATAACTTATTTTAATTTGAGAGTCTATGCCAGGTTGTATGGTGCAACTTCTGCTTATAACTTATTGGACAAAAATAGTTTAAATAAGTTGAAAAAAATTGATTGTTTAGAAATTGAGATATGAGTACTTTTAACTTTTGCTTTTTGATTATCAACCTTTAACTTAAAAAAAGCTCTACCAAATAGGGTCATTATGTTTGTTTAAATTAATAGTGGAATAATATGCTTGTTTACATTTTGAAAAATTATGAACAGATTAATATTGAAATGAAAATGTTATATGATTTTTCTTTATTAACAAATTATGTGAACTAGTAGTTCCAAATCTAGCCGAACCATGTTTAAATGGTTGGTTTGGTTCCACAATTTAAATGAATTGGATTGATTCTAATTTTTATAAAACAGTAAACAATAAATTGATCATAATTTTGTCTTAAATCGACAATTCGAATCATGTTAATCCTTTATAAAAAAAAAAAAAGAGACACATTCATGTTCCTTAAATTTTAAGTTCTATAATACCAAAATATTTTTCGTGTATTAATTTCTTTTAATAAATACTTAATTAAATGACATTATTTGCTCTATCTTTCACTTTATTGATATTTTTTATTTTGTCCATACAAATACTCCTTTTGGATTTTTTTTTATAATCCCATTTAAAAATGAAATCCTAAAATGAAAAATGAGTCGGACCCAGCACCCCTACTGTTTTGTGATTGATTCGATAATTTTTTTCTTTTTTTTCCTTTTATTTGCAAGTCACAACCCCTACGTGAAGGTGGGGGTGCTAAGATCACCCCCACTAGGGTCCCCAGGACTGCTCTATAATTTAGAACTAAAAGCACCTTTTTTGACTTGTGGGAGAGTGACAAATGTTCATTTACGAGGATGCAAAACAAGATCGTCCAAGTTCTCCTCGCTCAGAAAATCTGGGTCCCACCAATCTTGCCTCTTCTCTCTCGAAAATTTATTGGTGAATTTGAGGCGTAATTATATCTTATACCAATTACAATTACTTATATTCCTCATAATTTTTAATAATTTAATACAAATTCATAAAAATTATTTGAGAAAAGATAGGGATCATGAAAATTTTTTCATGAAACTGATCATGAAAAATTTATGACCCTTAGATTACCTTGATTAGTGTGTGGTATTTTATTTTAAGTGTAATCTAAGAGTCATAAATCTTTCATAATCATTTTCATGAAAGTTTTTTCATGATACGTAGCATTGCTCAAATTATTTTATCAATCACAATACCATACACGTAACGATATCAAGATCAACCAATAACCATACACGTATATATACACTTTTTTATACACGTATCTCCTTAAGATTTCGAAGCAGAATGTATACTACATGTATGTATATAGAGAGGATGTACTCACTCATTCTGACAGTCTTTCTCTTATTCTGAAATGGGTCACTCACAGCACAGAATCTTCTTTCTTGCTCTTGGTGGTTCTCACTATAAGATTCTGATGATCTACTTGTAATTTTATTAATGGGTTTTGGGTTTGGGGTATACCATAACGGAGACTCTGGTTTGAGGGTATTTTAAAAGTGTCAAGTGGGTTGGCTGGGGGTTTTTGTGCAATTAAGGTCTGTTTTGTTCTTTTATTCTATAGAGTTGAAAATCGTTTAGTGGTGAACAGTAATCACTGTTATAAGCAAAGCATTAAACAAGTGAATGTGGAAAAGGACTACTACAAGCTCGAATTGAAGGTGGGTCTCGCCTCTCTTTCAGGTCTCTCTCTCTCTCTCTCTCTCTCTCTCTCTCGATTAAAGGAGAGGAGGACGTTTCAGGTCCTATTTCATATGGTTGGGCATCTACTGAATGTCAGTGACAGAGGTAAACACAGAGTTGAAGAAAGCACACGTTTTCTTCAATTCTGGTTTTGTCTACAAGTACATAACAATTCATAGCTAAAACAAGAAGATAACATGAAAAAAGAGTATTGAACTGTGAAAGATCAGTTTGATGATTTTTTTTATCAAAAAAAATGCAAATTTTGAGGTTTTTGGCAGATGGGTATGTTGGATGTTGAGGTATTTGGGTATTCTAGATTTTTTTAAAGAATACTAGATCTACACGTATAGCAGATCAACATTGTTTGACAGAAGATTCATTTCCATCAAACGAAGTTTCCTCCATTATGTTCAAATAAAAAAATCTAGTAGATCGGTTTTAATTTTTTTTTATAATGGGTCTATGTTGGTATTATCAAGATTCTAGGTTTAGATTTCAAGAATTCAAACTTGGGTGTGTTGGATTCTAGTTGGAGGACTGTTCTCTGATGATCTTCAATTAATTGTTGGGTTTAAACTTGTCAGATGGATTAGACTAGTAATTTGCTTGGTGCAATGGTAAAAGCTATCGCTCTTTGGTTGTTGGTTGCTTGTCTATTGATCTCTGTTTCTGCCATTGACAATGGATTCGCCCATTATCATTGCGACGACGAGGGGCTTTGGAGCATACATAGTATTCTTGAGTGTCAGAAAGTGAGTGATTTCTTGATTGCGATAGCGTATTTCTCGATCCCCGTTGAGCTACTTTACTTCATTAGCTGCTCGAGTGTACCATTCAAATGGGTACTTCTTCAATTCATTGCGTTCATAGTTCTTTGTGGATTGACCCATTTGATCAATGGTTGGACCTATTATGGCCCTCACACCAGTTGATGCTAGCCCTAACCATTGCCAAAATCCTCACAGCCCTTGTTTCTTGCGCAACTGCAATAACGCTTTTGACGCTAATCCCTCTCCTTCTCAAAGTGAAAGTGAGAGAGCTTTTCTTGAAACAGAACGTGTTAGAGCTAGACCAAGAGGTTGGGATGATGAAGAAACAGAAAGAAGCAAGCTGGCATGTTCGGATGCTGACCCAAGAAATTAGGAAATCACTTGATAAGCACACGATATTGTACACCACTTTGGTTGAGCTTTCCAACACGTTGGATCTGCAAAATTGTGCAGTTTGGATGCCAAACGAGATTAAGACAGAGATGAACTTGACCCATCAGTTGAAAGCAAGTTCTTCAAACAGTTGCCATCAGTTACTTCCTATTAATGACCCTGATGTATTAGAGATAAGAAACAAAAAGGGGGTTAGGGTTTTGAGGCCAGAGTCTGCACTTGGGGCTGCAAGCAGTGGTGGGTCTGCAGAGTGGGGTGCAGTGGCGGCAATTCGGATGCCTATGCTTCATGTTTCAAATTTTAAAGGGGGTACGCCAGAGTTTGTTGAGACTTGTTATGCCATATTGGTTTTGGTTCTTCCGAGTGCAAGTAACAGAGTTTGGAGCTATAATGAGATGGAGATAGTGGCAGTTGTTGCTGATCAAGTGGCTGTGGCTCTCTCCCATGCTGCAGTTCTAGAGGAATCCCAACTAATGAGGGAAAAATTGGAAGAGCAAAATCGCATGCTACAACAGGCGAAGGAGAATGCATTGATGGCAAACCAGGCACGGAACTCTTTTCAGAAAGTGATGAGCCATGGGATGAGGAGGCCTATGCACTCAATCTTGGGCTTACTTTCAATGTTTCAAGACGATAGTTTGAGATCCGAGCAAAAAATCATTGTCGACACGATGGTGAAAACTAGCAACGTCCTTTCTACTTTAGTAAATGATGGAATGGAGATTTCAGCCAAAGATAACGGAAGATTTCCGTTAGAGATGAGGCCTTTTCAGCTGCATTCTATGATTAAGGAAGCTTCTTGTCTTGTCAAGTGCTTGTGTGTTAGCAAGGGCTTTGGTTTTATCGTAGATGTTGAGAATTCTTTGCCCAATCAAGTGATGGGCGATGAGAGGAGGACGTTTCAGGTCCTATTTCATATGGTTGGGCATCTACTGAATGTCAGTGACAGAGGGAGGTCTGTTATCTTTCGGGTAGTTTCTGAGAAAGGAAATGAGGGCAGGAATGAGAAAGTTTGGGGAATGTGGAGACCAAACGCGAATGAAGAGCACGTGAGTGTAAAATTTGAAATTGAACTTAATGATAGAGGCTCTCAATCAAATGATGGCTCGATCGCTACCATACATTTTGCTGGTAGGAGGCACAACAGCAACAATGCCAAGGAGGGCCTCAGCTTCAGCATGTGCAGGAAACTCGTGCAGGTGAGAATCCCAAAAAATTTGTTTTTATCTTAATTTTTTTCCTGTGATGTTGTAGTTTGATTTTGTCACTGCACTAGTAGAGCACGTTTGGATTTCACTTGGGAATGAAAATTGCATTTCATTCACCTCATTTTCAAGTCTCGTAGCATTTGTGTTGAGCACATGAGAATTATGCTTAGAATTTCCATTTCATAATAAGTTTTGGTAATTTAAATGAAAAATGTTCTGAGCCTTGAAATTTATGATGCACGTAGATGTGAGCCTTTCATAAAGAATGTGCATCATGCTGTCAGGCTTGCCTTATATCTGAAATATATTCTCCTAAAAATATTAGTTGTAGAGGTCTTGTTGCAAAATTTTGTTCTTTCTTTGATTTTTATCCATTAAACTTGCTAGTTTATGTTAAAAACACCTTCGGAACATTGTGACCTAAAAAAATTTGCAGTTTTTACAATGCATAACTATGGCTTACATCTATGGTTAATAATGATGTTTGTAAAATGTTTTGATACATATTTAATTTTAGGGCACGCTAGTCGTTATACCCAAGGGTTATATTTGAATTCGAGGTAATTTTTAAAAGCAAAATTGGATCAATAATAGTTGGCCTTTGTTGATAATAATTCAACTTATGAATCTTCTTTGATTAAATATAATTTGCAGATGATGCAAGGTAATATCTGGATATCCTCAAATTCTCTGGGTGAGGCACAAAGCATGACTCTTGTTCTCGGGTTTCAAATCCAACCTTTTAGGAGAGCCATGTTTGAACCTGGAAATGTACCAGAGCAACCAAAATCAAACACTATGTTCAGAGGCCAGCAAGTTATGTTAGCTGATGATGATGACATAAACAGAACCGTGACAAAAAGGCTGCTCGAGAAACTTGGTTGCCAAGTAACTGCCGTTTCATCTGGATTTGAATGTTTGAGTGCACTTGGCCCAACTGGGAATTTGTTTCAAGTAGTTGTTTTAGATCTTCAAATGCCTGAAATGGATGGGTTTGAAGTGGCCATGAGAATCAGAAAGTACCGAAGCCACAATTGGCCATTGATCATAGCCCTCACTGCAAGTGCTGAGGAACATGTTTGGGAGAGATGCTTACAAGTAGGAATGAATGGTGTTATTCGAAAACCTGTACTTTTGCAAGGAATGGCTGATGAGCTTCGAAGAGTCCTTCAACGGGCAAATGAAGGAATGTGAAGTTAGTAAGTAAATTTAGAAGATTTTGTGTCATCATTTCTTCAAAGTATTTACCGGGCTTATAGGATCAATACCGTCAAGATACTAGCATAGAAATGTTTAGTATTATTTCACTAAACCTTGAACAAACTAGAGCTGCTAGTTTTCTCGAACCATGGTCATAATTTAGCTTCACCTTTTTAACTTTATAGGGTGAATAAAAAGTTGTGTTCTTCTATACAAAATCTTCACCATGATTCACTAAATTCAAATCTCATAAATCTAATTGTATATGATCCTTCAGGTCTGGTATTGTGTATGGGATTTTCTTTGCAGAATTGAGTAGCATGAAAATGTATTTGTAAGTTCTTACCAGGATCTTATCTTGTTTTCATTTGCATACTTCTGTCATAAAGTGGGATATTTCGAGATCCAAGTGTTTACCTAGTAGTTGAGGTACTCTCTTATGAAGTTTGATGCCCGAGTTTCAGCCTTATCCTTGCGTGATACAACTCTCTCAAAATACCAAGCTATCCTTCCTGATTGAAAAAAAAGGGGTATTCTTTCTTATTTTTTTTCAATTCTTTTTTATGGTATCGCCATTATGGGCGCAGTAGAGGATTAGAAGGAAACAGCCTCTTGCGTGTTTGAATCCGTCATGCTGTATTTGGTTGAGGAATTTAAGAAGGGATTAGAAAAAGAAAAGAGAAAAGGTGTGTTGGTGAAATGTAGGTATATTTTTGCTCACATTTGACTTACTTTTTCCTTTTCACATTTGACTTACTTTTTCCTTTTCGCTTTTCAAATCTCTCAACCAAACACAAGGTTAATGTTTGAGTCTCATTATTTGACTAATTATATTAGTTTGGTAGGTGAATGAAATATTTTTTTTATTTGCCGATTTTTGGGACCAACTTTGAATAGCAAAGCGAAGACTAAGCTAATTTAGGTGGTGTCGTTTGAATGGTTCAAAAGCAGTTTCCACTTTCCAGCATCGATAGAGGACAGCTTAGCTTCATTTTAGCTTTTGAAATGGAACTGATTCACCTTTGTCAATGTCTGCCTAACTAAATCCCAGTCTTTTTTAGCTTTAAAAGTCTATGGTATGAAGATTTGATTTTTGTGGACACAAGAAGTTAGTGACTAAAGGCATGCACTTGTGAGGAATCATAACATATTGGACTCCACTTAATGGAATCTTCTATAGAAATTTTTTAAAAATAAAAATAAAAAATTCTTGTCATTTAAAGTTCATGATTTTTCTCTTTTACAAAATATATATGTATGTATATATTTTAAAGAAAAACTATAATGTTAAATTAATAATAGTTTTAAATTTAGGAGAGGTCAACGTGTAACGGTTTAGTAGATGCTTGTGCAAACAATGTAACGTGTTACATGGGCACCAAACATCTACGAAAAAAAAAAGAAGTTTTGTGCATATAAATATATGAAACATAGGTAGTTTGACAAATATGCCATACCCAGTATTTATCGGTGTATGATATTTTACATAGTATTTCTGTATACGTATCAGGTACACGAAATACGTATCAAAATTTTTTTTTCTTAATTTTTAACGTATCCAGACGTACTTAATACATACTTACACCGTACCGTACTTCAGTCGAAATAATATTTTCTTAAACTATAGAGATAAAATTCCATTCACTAGATTTCTTTTTTATTTTTAGTTTTATGCTTAGAGGTGATTTTAAAATTAAGTTATGATTTGTAAGTTATTTAATATAAAGTTGGTTTACGGTAGTGTTACATGCACCAATTAGTGTACCAACACTAGTTATGGCATTATTATTGACCACATTCATTAATTACATTACAAATACCAAAAACCTCTTAAATTATGCCACATCATCAATTGATATATTAGTTAGTGCATAAATTGGTATATATAGCATTATTCGTTGGTTTATATCTTTACTTTTGGCATTAAATGTTAACTGTAGGTTGGATCTTAACAAATTAATCAATTTAATCCATTTTTACATTACTTCAAATTTAAAATAAATATTTTTTTATAATTATATCAAAATAGTATCTGTATCTTATTTTTTAAAAAATTTTATCCTATTAACATACGCGTATCGTATCAATACAAGTATGTGTTCGAGTTCATCGATATAAAGAAAGCCCCAATCTTCATTTGACCAGTTAGTTTAAGATTAGCCATGGGACTTCCAAATTAGTCATTTGGTCATGGTAGCTTAAAACTTGATTATTTAAAAAATTAATATAACATAATGAAACAGTGAGAAATCTATTTGATTTAGTTTTTAAAATTGTTTTTTTTTTTAAAATTTTAAATTTGACAAAATAAATACAAAAAATGTTATTTCAAAATTTGTAAAAAATATTTTCATTCAAAAAAGATAAAATCATTAAAACAATAAGGTTGTTTTTATTTTTCACAAAAATTATTTTCTATAAAATTTCAAAAAAACTCAATCAAATAGCAGGCAGTACTTGAAAAAATAAACATCCATGAATGAGCATCATTGAGCTCGCGTTCAATGTAATTTCGGCCATAATAAATAGGGCCCAAATAAATGGGCCAGTTAGGGCAAGAATAAGAATCATGCGGCCCAAGTTCAATTAAGTTTGGGCCTAATAAATAGAGCCCAAACCGGGGCTTTTTCCTAATTAAGTTAAAATAGCAAGCTATTTCTTAAACTAGGCTTAGTTTTGACAAATTTTCCAAAATAAGCTGAAACGTGGTTAGAAATCACGTTTTTACCGTTTTTGTAATCCAACGGTAGAAAATTTATAAAATCGTAAAAGTATGGTTACAAATCATGCTTTTATTAAGAAAGCGTGGTTACAAACCACGTTTTTTAAAAAAATTGATTTATAAATAAAGCGTTGTTTCTAATCACGCTTTTAAATAATTTTTTTTTAATAAAAAAACGTGATTTCTAATCACACTTTCTTAATTAAATTGTATTGTAGAGAAAACGTGGTTAGAAATCACGTTTTCAATAGCACAACATCACGCACTCACAAACACACTCACACACACTCTCTCTCTCTCTCTCTCACTCTCACACACACACACACATCAAACAAACAAATATAATTTTTAATATATATAAATTTTATTTTATAAAATTAAAACTAATATTAAATATATATAATAACAAATAATAATCAATTATATAAAATGATTACTTATTTATTTTAATTCTTAAATTTTATTTTTATTTTTATTTTAAGGTTTAAGGCTTAGGGTTTAATTCTTAATTTTTTTTTTATTTTCTGTTTGGTAACTATTCTGTTTTCAATTTTCAGTTTATATTCACAAAAAATTTAAAAACTATCATAAAAACTTGTTTGATAATTTTTTTTTGGGTTTATAAATAGTTGTCTCGGTTTATATATTTGAGGAAAAAAAGTAAACTCAAAAAATGAGTTTATGTTTTCAGTTTTCAATTTTTTTTTTCAAATAATTTTTTTTTTAAATAACTTCTATGCCAATTATTTTGTGTCAATTAATTTTTCTGTGAATTCATTTTTTTGGCCTGTACAAACATTTTGTACAATACGTTTTTAATTTTTGTCAAAAATTTTGTTGAAGTCAACAACTTTGGAGAATACATATTGATAAAAATTAACAAAAAATTCATTGTCATAAATAATAAATATAAATATAAATATTTTAGGCTTGAACAAGCATATTTTTTAGTTTATGTTTTTAAATATTTTTAAACATTTTATTCAAATCAAACGCGTTTGTAATTTATGTTTTTCTAAAAATAAATAAAAATCAATTTATAAAAATTTTGTAAATATAAACAAAAAACGTAAACGTTACCAAACGCTACCTTAGTGTAAGGGGATAAATTTTTTTATTTTTTTTTTATTTTAGGGTTTAAGATTTAGAATTTAGGGTTTACAAAAATTTTATAAACTGATTTTTCTTTATTTTTAGAAAAAACATAAATTACAAACGCGTTTGGTTTGAACAAAATGTTTAAAAATATTTAAAAACATAAACTAAAAAAATATGTTTGTTCAAGTCTAAAATATTTATATTTATATTTATTATTTATGACAATGGGATCACACATATTATAATTGAAAAAAATTTAATTGGAAAAAAAAGTAATTGAAAAAAAAAATATTTGAAAAAAAAATTAATTGAAAAAAAATGAAAAAAAAAATTTGAAAAAAAAAAATTGAAAACTAAAAACGTAAACTCATTTTTTGAATTTACGTTTTTTCCTCAAATTTACAAACTGAGACAATCATTTATAGACCAAAAAAAAATTATCAAACAAGTTTTTATGACAATTTTTAAAATTTTTGTAAATATAAACTGAAAATTGAAAACGAAATAGTTACCAAACAGAAAATAAAAAAAATTAAGAATTAAACCCTAAATCTTAAACCTTAAAATAAAAATTCAAAAAAATTTAAGAATTAAAATAAATAAGTAATCATTTTATATAGTTGATTATTATTTGTTATCATAAATTATTATTTTATATATATTTAATATTGGTTTTAATTTTATAAAATAAAATTTAAATATATTAAAAATTATATATGTTTGTTTGGTGTGTGTGTGCGCGTGTAAGAGAGAGAGTGTGTGTGTGTTTGTGCAGTGTTATTGAAAGCGTGTGTTTTTTAATCACGTTTTTTTTACAATACAGTTTAATTAAGAAAGCGTGGTTAAAAATTATGTTTTTTGAAAAAGAAAAAATTTATTTAAAAGTGTGATTAGAAACAACGCTTTATTTATAAATTAAATTACCTTAAAAACGTGATTTGTAACTATACTTTCTTAATTAAAAGTATAATTTGTAACAACAATTTTATAATTTTACAATTTTTTTACGATTGGATTACAAAAACGGTAAAAATATAATTTCTAACCATGTTTTAACTTATTTTAGGAAATTCTTCATAGCTGAGCCTAGTTTGAGAAATAAGTTGGTATTTTAGCTTAATTAGGGAAAAGGCCCTAGTTTGTCCCATAAGCCCATTTGGGTTTAGGCGGCCTGCGATAAATCTGTATTAGAAGTTGTCGGTGTTGTTGAGATCTCAATCTTTATTTATGTTTGGAGCTCAAGAAAAGAAAAGGAAAGAAAAGAAAAGAATGAGCAAAGAAGCAGCAGCAGAGTACCACTCCAAGGATTTCGAGTGGGATCAACTCAGACGAGAAATCGAATCCGACCCATCTCTTCTCTACCATTTTCTTCTACCTCTCGATGATACCCATCTTCCCTCATCTTCTCAATCTTTTTCTGGGTCTGTCTCATCTTCTCCTTCCCAACACTCAGATGCATGGAACAAGTTTCACTCTCGTCACTCCTCCGGAAAATTCTTCAAGGTTCAGTTCAACCTCTTTCACAGTCATATTGATGATTGTTTATGTATGTTTCTGTATTTAATTGTATATATGCATCTATATTTGTGTATATTTACACACAAACACTTGCACCCACATGGGTATTTTGTTATATTGTTTGTGATGATGTAGTCTTGAATTTGAATGAAATGGGATAGTCTTCTCAATCCTAATCAAAGATTGATTAGAAAGCCACTGGTTTTGGTGAAACTTCTTTTTCTTATTCCCATTAATCTACTGCTTTATTGTTTACATCACCAATGAAATCAATGAGAGCAAAAGAGGGTTCATCAAACTTCAGCACTACAACCCACAATTGATAAAACTAAAGCTTGATTGAATCCGACATTTCCCATTGAACTCCAAACAAGATACATACAGTTGTTAATGGATTTTTGGAATTATAATGAAACTTTTTTTTTTCAGTTTCATTTACTTTTGTGACTTTGTTTGAAAATTTAGCATGTCTAATACCAGAATGATTATTGGTTTCAGGAGAGGCGGTATTTGTTGAAGGAATTTCCTGAACTATTGTCTTGTGATGAATATTCGAAAGTTTTGGAAGTGGGATGTGGTAATGGCAGTACTGTTCTACCAATTTTACGGTGATTCTTAGAATTTCCCAACTTTGTACCATCTGGCACTGATGTTACTATTTTTCAATTCTCCAAGTATTTCCTTTAAATTATTGTATTACTTGAGATACTCAAGATTTTAAACTTCATTAACATTGCTTGTCATATGACTAAAGCTGAACCTAGGAATTAATTTAGGATTAGATGTTTGCAAACCAAACAGGATATCGACCTTCAGGTTCCTCCTATTTTAGAATGGACTTTGGTTTCTTCTTTGCAATCTGTGCTAAGTTTCCCAAATAAGAAAATATAATTCCTTACTGTAAGATTATTGAAAAGAGAGCATATGACAAGGAAGATAAGCCAAAGGAGAGAAAGGAGGGGAGATGAGTATTATAGGAAATTGAGAGAGAGAGGGGTTAGGAAATCTCCTAGAAAAGAAAGAACAGAGAGTCCAGAAAAGAGAACGACAGGGTTAGAATAGAGAAGAGAAGGAAAGAGAATGTAAATAAAAGGGGGTGGGGAAGAGGGAGAGAAAAAGTGAAAGCTCTTCAAGTTAGTTGTGAACTTTATTGATCGTTGAGATTGATCTTGTTGACAATGATGAGGCCTTTTAATAGGTTCATAAAACCCTAAACCCACTGAAACATTGTAAAAAAAACATCCTTCCTGATATATTAATCTATAAAACTCAACTTTCACTTCTGGAACTACAAAAACTTCAACAAAATATGAAAATATAGATATGTTCACTATAAAACTAATGATTAACTTACTTATGCTCTTACTCACACACTAACACCGAAATATTCATTCATATATCTTCTCATGGGTTGCAGCTACTATGGTCCAGGATCCCCTCTTTTATAGATCTTGACTTACTGTTGATAGGATTTAGTAGCTAAGCATATCTTGATGAAAATCCACAGAAAAACTTTTGACACTGAGAAAACCTTATAAATCCTCAATGTTATGTACCACTGCTCTCACAATAAGAAACCATGTTGAGGGAACATGTGAAGAGAAGGAAAGAAGAGGCATATTCCAAAAAATTGTGCGAAATAGGATGGACATGAGAGAAAGGGGAAAGAGGTCCGAGGAGAGAGGGAAAGATTAGGGAAGGGATTAGATAGGTTTAGGTTGGAGCTGTTTAAGGAGATAAAAGCAAGAGCAGAGTAAAGTTCCAAGGGTAAAGAGAGACAGAAAAGAGCAAAAAGAGAGATAGATGGGAAAATAAAAGATATGGTCAAAATACATCAAATGTCATATTTCCTAATATAACAACAAAAAAGTGTCAATTATAATACATAAAATAACTTTAATTTGTAAAACCATCAAAATACATCAATATTAGCTTTAAACCTTCTAAGAGGACGAATGACTAACAGATACCAGTCTACTTGGCATGGTTTCTGTGACTGTTACAGTGCATCTTTGATGTTTTGGAAGTGTTGTTAGGTTATGATTTTTCATTTTGTCTTCCTCAAAACACCTATTTTCTAGTTAAAATATCAGGCAGTTTTCTGCTATGTGGGTTGGAGGTGTATAATATAGTTTTTTTTTTTTTTTTCAATAGAGACCAAAGAGGCACACATTTGAAGGAGGATATTTAGAAAAATTATGCAGGACCTGGTTGTTTTTTCAATTCATTTTACTTTCACTTGTTTGGAAATCAGCATTCAGTCTTGTCTGAACTCCTACTTTGAATGTGTTCCCAACTTGTTTCGTTTTCAGTGGAGATTCCATAAGCACAAGTTTTGAAGATGCATGTTTAAAGTATATGGTCGGGAAATAGTTTCTTGCTTGCATAAACCATCCAAGGAGGCAGTTGTTGGGGTCATATGTCCCTTTTCTAGGCTTTGGGGTTAATCATTTGAATCTCTTTCTTTTGGTCCTCAAAACTTTCTTATTGAAGATTAATATTTGCAATCTTGTGTAGCGTGTGAATTTGTAGAGATTAATTCTATGTCTTGATGTTCCTGGCCTTAAACCTGATACATATTTTTTTCCTTGAAATTTTTGGTTCCAGTGGCAACGAGAGCATCACTGTCTATTCTTGTGATTGTAGCATTGAGGCTCTTAAAAGGGCTGAAGAAGTGATAGATGCCACTGATTTAATCTCAGTAAAACATCGTTTTCATCCATTCCCTTGTGATTTTTCTATTAGTGGGTTTCCGAAGTGGTTGGCCTGCGACTCTTGCAGGGAAGTTAATCTGCAAAAGCAGGACACTTGCCTTTCTGGTTAGTTACTTTATCCATTGCTTCATAAATTCCTTAATTTTGTGGGCTATTACTTGGAACTCAGCTAATTTTTTCTGCTCTTCCAGATGTTGAAGACAAGAGAGGGGCAGGATTAAATGATTTTACTTCTTTGAAGGAACATAAATGCTGCCTTGGTGGGGTGGATTTTGTGACCTTGGTATGTTGCTAGTTTTCCACAAATTGAGTCTTAATGCGTTGTTGGGCATTCGAAGTTAGAATTTGAGGTGAAGTGGGTCTACACATCCTCTTAGGTTGTGTTTGGATCTTAGATTTGAAAAGAGATTTATGGAGGGAACAAAAAAGGGGAGGGACATGTGAATGAAGTAGAAGGTAAATTTTTGTTACTTTTCCCTCCCCTTTTTTGCCCCCCTTAACAAATCGCTCCTCAAATTTGAAACCCAAACACAACCTTAGGAATTTACCTTTTTCTTTCTTTGAAGAATTATAATGTAATTAGTTGCTGCATTATCTGCATTAGAAACCGTGGTTACTTAAATGTTGAGTTTGGATTTTTGGAGGGAAAGAAGAAGGTAAGGGAAAAGTGAAAAAAACTTAACTTCTACTTCATTTACTTTTCCCTTCCCTTTCCTCCACAAATCCAAGATCTAAACACAACCTAAGTACAAATCTTCAAATTTCGTAAGGGATATCAATCTGATTATTTAGATGTTTGATATGAGTTATTGAGTTAAATTCTAGGTTGTAGTTGAACTTCTTGTGTGATAACCACTTTGTTCATCACTTTGTAAATTTGACCAATGAGTCTTTATTACTATTTTTCATTAATGTAAAAATGCCTAAATATTTGACAATGTTACAATCTAATCATTCAAGAACTACCTAAATATTTGACAAACCAACCTATTGCATTGGTATATTTAAGGCTGTTCATCTTTTTGTAAATGAAATTCGTAACTTATTCACCGATGCCCTGAATGAATAATTAAAAAAATCACCGATGACCCTGAACTTGTCACAACTCAAATAGGGGTGTAAATTTTGGCCCGGCCCGGCTCACCTGGGCCTGAGCTCAGGTCGGCCCACTGTCGGGCCATGTGGACTCCCACAAAAAATTGGGCTGGGCCACTTGTGCAAAATGGCGGCCTTGGGCAGGCTAGCAGCTGGGGCTGACCATTTTAAAATTTTTTTTCTATTTTTTCTCATCAAAATTTTTTTCCCACAAAAAATGACACTGAGCCATGGGTGGGCTGGGCTTCGAAACAGACGGCCCAAGCCCAGGGTCTTGGTTTGGGCTTGGGCCCAGGCCTAGCCGAGCCGGGCCCCGGGCCGGTGGGCCAAATTTACACCCCTCAAATATATTAGGAAGTAAAGAATATGATGAAATTGGATCCTGATTTTTTGTCTACTACACACTCACCCTCTTCTATATATAGGAATCATGAATCATTGTAATAAAAAACAATTACAAATATCAATCAATAATACATACAATTTATTCTCTCTCTCTTTCTCTATACATTATTTCTTACAGTGAACGTAGAATTAATTTTTGAAAGTTGCAAACAAACATCATATGCAAACTAAAGGGTGGAACTAAAGTTCCAAAACCCTTCCAAACATAGCCTTAACTTCTACTTCATTTACTTTTCCCTTCCCTTTCCTCCACAAATCTAAGATCTAAACACAACCTAAGTACAAATGTTCAAATTTCGTAAGGGATATCAATCTGATTATTTAGATGTTTGATATGAGTTATTGAGTTAAATTCTAGGTTGTAGTTGAATTTCTTGTGTGATAACCACTTTGTTCATCACTTTGTAAATTTGACCAATGAGTCTTTATTACTATTTTTCATTAATGTAAAAATGCCCAAATATTTGACAATGTTACAATCTAATCATTCAAGAACTGCCTAAATATTTGACAAACCAACCTATTGCATTGGTATATTTAAGGCTGTTCATCTTTTTGTGAATGAAATTCATAACTTATTCACCGATGCCGCGAATGAATAATTAAAAAAAACTCCGAAAACCCTGAACTTGTCACAACTCAAATAGGAGTGTAAATTTGGCCCTGCCCAGCTCACTTGGGCCCGAGCTTGGGTCGGCCCACTGTCGGGCCATGTGGACTCCCACCAAGAATCGGGCTGGGCCACTTGTGCAAAATGGCGGCCTTGGGCTGTCTGGCAGCCGGGCCTGACCATTTTTTAAATTTTTTTCTATTTTTTCTCATAAAATTTTTTTTTCCCACAAAAAATGACACTAAGCCTCAGGTGGGCTGGGCTTTGAAACAGACAACCCATGCCCAGGGTCTTGGTTTGGGCTTTGGGCCTAGGCCTAGGCCTAGGCGAGCAGGGCCACGGGCCGGTGGGCCAAATTTACACCCGTCAAATATATTAGGAAGTAAAGAATATGATGAAATTGGATCCTGATTTTTTGTTCTTGTATTTTGTGGCTGTCAGATATTCACGCTGTCATATGATGAAATTGGATCCTGATTTTTTGTTCTTGTATTTTGTGGCTGTCAGATATTCACGCTGTCAGCAGTACCACTTCACAGGATGCCAGCAGCCATTGCAGCATGTTTCTCAGTATTGAAACCTGGTGGCCTACTTCTATTCAGAGATTATGGTAATTTCCCAACAAACAACATAAATGTATGTGTATTTATAGGATTTTAGTCAAGGCTGTTTGCTCAAGACGAAAATTTTCCCTTCAATTTTTTATATTGAATATGTTGCATGGAAGACTTTTATCTTGCTGCAGTAATTTCAAAAAATTCCTTTTTATTTTTTAGCCTGATTTTGGATGAAAATTTTGAACCCTTTCAAGTGAATTGTTGCTATCAAAAGCATTTTAAGGATGAACTAGTGAAATACCAAAATTCTTTCAGTTATATTTATTGTACTATATTTGGAACCCGTTGAAATTATTAATAGTGTGATGAAAATTCAGGCCTTTATGACATGACGATGCTTCGATTTGAGCCAGACAAAAAAGTGGGATTTAGGGAATACATGCGTTCTGATGGAACTCGTTCCTACTTTTTTTGTTTGGATACTGTGAGGGATCTCTTTGTGGGCTCTGGCTTCACTGAGGTACTAATGTTGTTTCTATCAGTTTGATGTTAATCATAGCCGTGCCAACATAGGATGGTAGATTTTGCGCTTAGTTTGGTGCAGTTTCTAGCAAACTGAAAGCTGAAGCTAAAATCACCTCCCCCCTTGCTTCTTAGAATCAGTTTTTTCCAGCTTTTTTAAAGTTAATTTTGTTTCATAAGTTGTTTGGCACAGATTTCAAAAATAAAAAAGCTATAAGCAACTCTATAAGTTGAACCAAACAACCTTTTACCACATTAAACTCGCCGATGAGTGAAGCTCATGCCAACTTACTAACCATGAGGAGATTACAACTCTACTTGTTATATATCCTGACTTTGCAGCTTGAGCTTGAATATTGTTGTGTTACGTCCGTGAATCGTCGGAAAGGAAAGAGCATGCGGAGGGTATGGGTTCATGGGAAGTTCCAGAAGTCGGTATGAAGTTATCCCTCAATTGTCCCTCATTGGAGTGTCATTACCATGAAGGACTGTAAAACTTTTGTTGCTTTTAGGAAGATGCAAGAAAGTATTCATTTGTTTTCGATTTTGGGATAAAGCTGTATGAGACAGAAATATGGAGCAAGAATATTCAAGGTTAAGGGTTAATTGTGAAGAATGAAATTGTGGCTTTAATTATATTTTGCAATAGTCATTTATATTAGTTGTTTGGATAGAAAGAAATCCTCACTATGTAGATTCTCAGTACTAAAATATTCATGTCCCTTTCAAATCACTAACAGGTCACATCCATTAGATATATTTTGATATTTTTACACAGTTGAATGATCGTGATTGAATTGGGATAAGGAATAGAAATATTTGACAATAAAAAACCCTTGGCCTATTGTGTATGTTACTGATAACTATATGTTATTCTAGTGATATATAGACTCGATAACAGTTATTTGCTACCAATTTAAATAGAATCCAATTTTTGCAATTTGAGAACGGTCTTATTATTATAATTGTTTTTTTTTTCTTCTCAAGAAAGAGTTGAAAAGAAAAGTAAATTAAAAAAAGTTCTCTGAAACAAATGTTTCTATATAGTTGGATTATATGATGATATTTATTGATGATCCATTTTGTGCTGCTTAAGAATCAGAGCTCATATATATATATAGATATAGGAAAATGTTTGAGGGCCCGAAATGCCTGGCTCGAATGTGGCTCGAATTTTATTTATTTTTTCTTTTTTTTTGCCATTTTTGACGCAGAGGAAGGTTGAAGCGGACGAAGAGAGAGAGGGAGAGGGAGAGAAAGAGGGAGAAGGAGAGGGGTCGCCGCCGTCTCCGATCTGTCGCCGATCGCCGTGCCTCCGCCTCCGTTGCCTCCGCCATGCCTCTGCTCGTCGCCTCTGCCATCGCCGATCGCCGTGCCCCCCGCCTCCGCCTCCAGTCCATTTTTTAGGCTCCCTCCAGTCCCCTTCCTCCTCCTTCCCCTCTCCCTCTCCCTCCTCCGTCTTCGTCTTCCTTCTTCTGCTGCAAAAAAAAAAAGAAAAGAAAATTAAAACCACGAAATGACGTCGTTTCGTGGTTTAGGGGCATTCGGGGCGGAGAAATTCGGGCTCTCAATCAGTTCTCATAGATATAATATGTTGCCTATAGGAGAGAACAATTATCACATGCACAGTATATATTTGTAATTTTCCAGTTTAAAAATTGCAGTGGTCATCAATCAACTGTAATGAGAATCAAAATTATTAAATTCACTCTTTTACATTTTAGTTTTTTATTTTTAATTTCCCTGAGAGATGTGAAAGTCAGCATTGGGTAAACTTTTGCCCTTTCAAACAATAGGGTGTTTGGTGCAACTGGTAAAATATATTATATATTATAATTTAACGGATTATAAATTATAATTTTAATCAGAAGTTGTTAATTTGTTTGGTACAATTGTCATATTATATATTTAAGTTACTGAGTAGTGTTTGGTAAGCTGTGAAATAACTTTTTGATGTGTAAATGTCATTTTTACCCTTGTTAATTGTAAATTGAATTAATTTTTGTAAGTTGTAAATTGAATTAACTTTTATTTTTTTTGTTATTCACTACAACTACACATTTCCCATATAATTTTTTTTTTCTAAAGATATAATCGTAAATTAACATGCGCACAGTAGAGATTGATAATCAGAAGCAGATGATTGACAACTTCTCAAAATCAATTTTTTTAAATTAAAATAAGTTATTAGAATTAGAAACTATTTGAAATGAATTTAACTAAACAATTCAAAATAATTTTTTCGAAATTAGAATTTATAAACTAACTAAAATAAGTTATACCAAACACCGTGAATGTGCCACGAGGTTGGCATAATATACAGCAACCTTATGGTGTAAGGTTCATTTGTTTTTAGGGTTCTTACTAGTTATATGCTTTATTGGAATAAGATACTTTACACAGCGATAAATTAAGGGACGATTTTACTTTTTAAGGAGAAGATGTTTTAATTTGTAAAAGTGTTGTTATTGTGATTTTAGCGACATAATTGGACATTTAACATAGTGTTTTTTTTTTAATTTTTTTTTAAAATTTTTATTTTTTATTTTTTTTTATGCACATTATCCTTTTGAGACTAAAATTTGTCTCAAAGGTAAACTTTTTGGCACATTTTTATTTTGTCTCTAAAAATACATTTATTAGTAATATTTGTTAAAGTTTGTTGCCAAAGGTATTTTTTTTACTCTTAGAGATTACTGAAATTGATACCCTAATGTTTTTCGCAGCAAAATTTCTACTTTTGAGGATGAAAAAGTTGTAGTGATATTTCTACCCAAATAACAATACGTCCCCCCCCCCCCAAAAAAAACTTAAAAAAATATTCAGAATTTAATTCACTATAACAAATTATACTTTTGGCGACTAAATTTTTTGTCACCAAAACATTTTTTTTTGTTCGCTAGGTTTATCGCTGGATGACTGTCAGGAAAGGTATTGGCGACTAAAACATATTTAGTTACTGAAAGTCTTCAATGGGCGACTAATTTTTTAGTCGCCAAAAGTTCTCAATTGGCGACTAAAAATTATTTAGTCAATGAAAATCTTCAATTGACGACTAATTTTTAGTTGCCAAAAGTTTATACGCTACAACAAATTGCACTTTTGGCGACTAATTTTTTAGTCGCCAAAGATTTTTTTTAGTAGCCGAAAGTCGCCAATTGGCGACTAAAAAGTTAGTATCCCAAATTTTTCAATAAATGTGCTTTTTTATTTTAGCGACTAAAATATTTAGTCGGCAAAATCATGGTGCTCCTTTTTAACTACTAATTTTTTAGTCACAAAAAAATTTCATTTTTTTTTTGGTTACTAACTATTTAGTCGCCAACAATGGCTACTAAATATTTAGTCGCCAAAAGCTCAATTTATTAATTTTTTTAAAATGCACAAATTGAATATTTTTCATTAATTTCTAAATTAGATGCATTCCATTATCAATGCAACTTGTAACTTATACATATACAGAATAATACATCTATCAATTAATCTAAATCCGTTATCAATAATACCCATTTTACTATCAATTATCCAAAAACTTTAACTTGTAACATCATATTTCAAATATCATATAAATTCATACCAACCAAATATAATTCATCTAAACTAAATATTACATACAAAAACATTGAATTTCCAAAATAGAGGATTGTACAAAAATATATGTCTTCCATATACAAAACAAACGCTCTTTGTACACAAAAAATAAATATCCACAATAGCCCACGCAAAAGTAATCTGTAAAAAAAATAAAATAAAAAATTAACCATTGGCACTTATTCAATAAAATTGACATTTCAAGTTATAATAATTATAAAATTAATAATTATGATATATTATACTTTGCAAATTGTAACAATTATAAAATTAATAATTCTAACTTTCTACCTATTAATACAATTTTTCTACACACCTTCAAATGCAAAAACTCCATTTTCTTACATGCCTACCTATTCCTAAAATCATCAAAGACAAAGATAATAATTAACCGTTAAGCTTAATCTTATCATTCAAATACAAGTCTAAATATAACCGAATAAAAAATGTTTTTACCGAGTACTCTGCACAATTCCCACCCTCCAAATCCACCAATCTTTCTTTGGGGTGCTCCTGTATTAGTCCGGCAAGCCTGAATGTCCACCTCCATGGTTTGTAACTGTTTTGTGCCAACTTTGCTGATCCTTCCATCCAGCAGCTAATTAAACACAAACAACTTTAACGACAAAAAGAATTGCCTCTGTCATACATATGGTGTTAATGTTCTAGAAGCTAGAAAATGAAGATACCAATGAGAAAATGTCACAGGATAAAACTAGATGTGAAACTATTATGATACAATTTATGATGGTACAAGATATTACACAATTACACATACTCAGAATTAACTAACAGTATAATTCTTAGCAAGGATGGTACTCTCAGGTCCCAAATGATATTTCATTTTGTAATAATAACTACAAGGAAATAGATCAAATAAATTGCAGATACCTCAAACATAAACAGAACTAGCAAAAATGTGCTTATTGGATTTACTTAGCTTACAAAAAAAAGAAAAAGAAAAAGAAAGTCAAGCTACCTTTGGAACCAAACCATGAACTTTTCAAAAAAGTATAATATAATGACTTGCATCATAAAAAGGTATTTGATTGGTTAGCCCACTTAAAGGGTTATCAAGAAGAAAAGAAATCCCTTCGTGGCACAAAATTTTTCAAACCCAAACATGAACTTCATAAGATGATTTAAAACCGTAGGTACCCATTAAGATAGTTATTTGTTCTTGATATTTGACAAAAACTGCCCATTGAGAGAGTAATTCTAAAGTTAAGGAGATAAGAAAACCTCAGCCATAAGGGAAATAGGCAAAAAATCGCACAAAGTTGAAGAATTGCAAGTGATGCTATAGAACTTTGGTGTGATTAACAACAATATCAATACCTACGAAGGCCCCAATAAATATGCATGACATTTAATAAAAACATAACAAGAAAAAAATAATTTTGAAAAAAAAAAAATCTAACAAAGTCCAATGCATACAATGAAGATCAAAAACAAAACCACACCATGAATCATAACCACAACTCAGTTCTCAAATATACAGTTACAAAGGCAAAATCAATCTTGTAGAGATATATATTATAGTTACTTTTGTATGAAACAGGGCAATTATCTTTCTTTTAAAAACTGAATTAAAAAGATTATAATATGGTCCAATAATTCAAAGTCATCACATTACTCTTTTCAGAAATTAGAAAATACTTCCTAGGTTTCTTTGGGGGCAAATCTTGCTAATCTAAGCCTTAATTTCTTTTTAAAACTTGATCATAGACTTTCAGTTGAGCCCAATGAATTTCTCACATAGCCCTCTTTGAAGTAACCAAAGCCTAAAAGACATATAGTTTCTTAAAAGAGCCTTGTTGGCCAACAACTATTCCATAATCTCATTTTCTCAGATTACTGTTAGCGGCACAATATAAAAAATAAGGTTAATTACATCTCTCAACTATTAGAGAATATCTACTTACCTCCCACATCTATGAACTATGCATTTTGACTAGAGATTTGATAAAAAAATGGAACATGAATTTTAAACACACAATAGTTTAATAGTGGATAAAGAACACTTTACTTCTATATCAAATCAT